CACTGACTTTATTGTGGCATTGTATTTTGCTTTTGAAATGTGGCCTATGAGGCAGATTCCCTTGGCAGGTTTAATTTTCTCACAGCCTGCAGCAATCTGTATGTGAAGTTTAACTTGCTTTTTGCCACATGCTGAAAAATGCATAGCAGACAGTTCATTTGCTCTTTTGAAAGTGAAGGAGCAACTGACTATCAATAATTTCTGGTGCAGTTTTGGCTCAGGATTCTAATTCCTTTATTACCTCTCTAGACTACTAAACGAAACTTGATAATGAACAACCTCACCTCTGATCACAAGCACCCACAACTTCATATGGAGAATGAGAGTTTTGATGGGTACATATAGATATGTCATATAGTGTGCAATGGGTAATGTGTGAACATGTACTTAACCTTCTCAGGATGAGTTATATGACTTTTCTCTGTAGTTTTGCAACCTTGCATAGAAACTGGTTTTTAAAGGTATTTCACCCAGAGTACATTCCAAATGTCTGGTTCCCCACCCACGTTCACTGGAAGTCCCATGCCCTTTTGGAATTGCTTTAGGATCCTACCCTAAAAGTGTTGTAACAAATGATATGTACTATACTTTTCTGCACTACAATGAACATGTCGCATAAAGCAGCCATAGATTATGATGTAGAAACTCCTCTCTCAGATGCCTCTGATTATGCAAAGAGGCTGCAAAACTTACTGAACAACTAGGACTTGAAGACACAGAACAAAACTGATGGACAGTGGATTCAGAGGAGATAAAAACATTCCACAGAACATAATCCACAAATAGATTCATTGCAAGAAGATGTGGGGCTGGCCAATGGCTTAGGGAGGGTTAAGGCTGTTTAGACAAGTTCATGGGGAGCAGGTCTATCATGGCTATTAAGTATGGTGGCTGACAGGCAGTGTGGCCTTCAAATGCTGTTGGCTAGAGAACAAAAATGGTAGGGGGGATTTGTAGATTTCTTGGAAGCACCTTGCTGGCCGCTGTCAAAAGGAGTCTGATGCAGGAGACCTTTGGGAATGTTCTAAAAGCAAAGAAACTGGGGAGGTACATGTGGGGGACACACTATTTTGGGGTTGTAGATCTTCTTGAGGATACGCAATGTTGTTACATAATAAAGATTATGATGGATAAATTTAATTTGCATATTGCTTTTTGTCTCTAATGTAGTTGATATAATTCCCTTTGGTAGACTTCTGAACCCTCCAAATTTTACTTCAGGGAAGGGAAAAGGGATGCTTATTTTATCCCTCCTCACTGTATGGTGGTGGATAGTCTGCAGTTCCATGGGACTCAAGATCAGTCAGAAATTATAAAGTCAAACAGTCAGTTTTATTATGCTTTCCTTCCTCAGTGACAGAATTATATCAATATAGTTGAGAAATAAATGTGCTTTTTTGGTAATGGATTATATGCTGCTGCCAGTATAGATTTGAGATCTGCATTTGATTCAGTCCCAAGGGATAGTTTATATGCTATACTATACATTTATTCTATTGATAAAAGGTTGCTTTATCTTATTATATACCTGTATGAGAAAACTATGAGCCTGGTGAGATGTGGGTTGGAGGGTAATTGAACCAGACCCATTCCTGCTATTTAGGGTGTTCACCAGGGCTGTTTACTTGTTTCTACATTATTTAATCTATACCAAAATGATTTGATTGTAGGTTGCTTGTCACCTGGTTTTTACTCACTCAAATTGTCCAAGTCTAGAAGTCCTTCAATGTATTGTGCAGACAATACTAGTCTTCTGTCTCTAACTAAAGCAGTTCTGCAATTATGACCGTGTGCTTTTATGGCCTATTGTACAGATAACTTGCTGACTCTTAACTCTAGTAAAACGAAGATCATAGTTTTCTCCAGACATGTCTCCTTAAATGGGTTATTGGACAGCAGTCTTTATAGCAAGTTAGGATGTTTAGATACTTACAATAGCAGATGGTTTGGTGCAGCGACAATGTTCATCTCAACTCTGCTCTGTCATGCTGCTATTTCTTAATTGGATGTAGAGGGGGTGAAGAGATGAGCTCAGTGAAGTGTAAAGGCAGCAAAATGCAGATGAAGTAGAGTATGGGTGGGCCTTCTGTCTCCCTTTTCATTGGACTAAACTAGTTTATGGAGTTTAGTTACCAGTGCTAGAGCTGCACCCTCTTCCTAGATCACATAAAAAATCTAATTAAGCAGACAGTCTGTCCCTTAATAGGCTCTTCCCAGTGGAAAGCAGGAGGAATAGCTCTGTTATACTACAAACTGATAAAAAGCAATACCAGAAAGTACTTGAATCATCCGTCTTCTATCAGAAAGGTCATATGATTTAATATTTCTTATTATTGTTACTTTACCTGCTTTGAGTCTGTGAGACAAGCAGTTGAAAATATTTTAAACAAATGAAGCCCACTCTTGCAGTTTTTTGGGTTTTTTTACTATCAAGGAACTTTTCCTTATGCTGCTTTTAATTGAACAGGGTCGAAGACTTCTAGTTAAGATGGCATCAGGTCAGAAAGTTGGCTCCGAAGCTCCGCAGAACACACAATTTTAATCAGGTTTTAATTGGTTTTAACTTGTGTCAAACCAATTATTTATCAATTGAACGGAGTCAGAAGTTTTTATAATGCATCAGGAGGTGTAGGTAGGACTGGCAGTTATTAAATATCACATATCTGTTCTTTGAACGATCAGCACAGGAATCAAAACATGGTGGGGGTTCTCATGTAATGCAGTCCACTTTTTTGGGGGGAGATTCATGTGCATAGCCTACAGTAGAAGCAAAATAGATGCCTTTGCCTAAGATCACAAGATGCAGCTTTAAGAGCTAGGAGTAAACATCCTTCTGGAAGTTAGGAGATAATGTTTCTTGCCATGAAAAAGGTATATTTCCAAGCTGTTCTTCCATTCTGCTCTGTGTCCCTGAGACATTAATAGCTTCTGATGGAAGGAGCAAATTAAGACAGAAAGTTTATTAGATGAGCTACTTGTGGAAATATGTTTGGCTCTTGAGGCCCTTCTATGCAACTGTGGTTAGAATTGGGGTTGCCAACCTGTTTCAACCAGTTGGCGCATTTGGAATTTGAGAAAGGCTTTGGCTGCCAGTCACAAAATGGTGTGGCAAAACACAAAATGGCTGCTGTGTGGGGGAAGGCATGACATGACACAAAATAGCTACCACATCTAAAAGAGCAGAAAAATAGCCAAAATCACAAAATGGTGTAGGCTGCCTCCCATCAGTGAAAACAAAGAAGGCACATCAGCCATCACCAGCTTGCTAATAAACCATTTGCAACTCTCCTCTGTTTAGAAGGGAAGGGAGAGTGGATGTCCAGTTCTAACATTCAATGAAATCTAGTGGCAGAGTCATTACAATATATTATATTGATCTAAAGTGGGCAAGTTTTAAAGTTTCAAAGTATTCTTAATCAGGTAGAAGGGTTTTTTAAATCGTATTTGTCAGTTGCCTCATGAAGTCTCTCAGTGATATACAGTCAAACAATTAAAGCATCCAAGTTGGAGGCTTAAATGCTTCTGTTCATTGCCTGGAAATTCCTCATTTGTTTTGCTTCTGTTGGTGGCACTGGCAGCGCCAATCTTTTGTGATTAATGATGGAACACAGGACAGCATAAAAAGGAAAGTCCTCCTCATTGAGCTCTAGCAATTTGATATTTCAGTCTTCTGGTCTCAGTCGGATAGATCTGGGTCCATACACCTCATTGATCATAGTTCCCCATGAATATTTAGAAATGTGTTCCTTCCAAAAGACACAGTTTTAATTCTAGTCATGTACAATATGGTTCTCCAGAAACTGTGGCTTAGCAACTTCCATTCGTTTCAATGAGACGTGAATGAGATTTCCATTCAGCAGAATCTGCATCTTATAACAATAAGCATGCATTTTCCTTTGGAATCAATAGTCATTCCACAAGAAACAAAAGCCCTAGTCACAACCCAGCACTAACTGAAATGTGCTAATGTGTCTCTTTTACCTAATGCATTTATCTCAGAAAGAGTCGTGCCTGTTTTGGTAAATCCCCAGAATCACATATGTGTCTTGACTGAGAGAACTATAGATGTGAGAACAAACATGAAGATCTGTGTACTCTGATGCTACCACTGGATGCTGCACATATTTGACCCTTCCTGGAATAATTGGGGCCCAGGATGCAAGATACTGGTCACAGTATCTATCTGTAAAATCTTCCCTTGGGATAGGATCTATGTAAGGGTTTAGGTTTCCTCAAGGTCCACTTAGAAGTGTTCTGCAAGTAGAAGGTGATTGCACTTATGCAGTGATCTAAATTACAAATAAAACATTTCCCTTTTAGGGACTGAAAGGACACTGCCAGGGCATTCAGTACTTGCAAGTTGTAAGTGGTGGTGGTGGCCGGGGGAGAAATTCAGTCTACATAATATGAACCCAATTAATAAAACAATATATGAACTGAAATGCAGCTATCTTAAAAATTCACATTTTTCTGAACTTTGTAATGCAGTTTTCCAGCCAAAAATAAGTGTACAGAATGCATCTATTAGGGGAATATTAATACTAATGCATATGTTAGTGAGATGAAAATACAGAAATGCATTATATTAAAGGAAGTAGCTTATAAAATAGGTATGTTAGGCCAGATTGCACACAAATTTTACAGTAGGAGACATGCACATTAAAATGCTGGTGAATTTATAGTGGGAAGCTCTGCAATAGAGGGAGAGTCGCTTCCTTATTTTGTAAAGATACCAGTTAACTGGTGGCTGCTTCCCGCTGAGCTAGCATGCCTCATGAATGGCATAATAAGTATCATCTGACAGCCCCATCAAAATGCCATTTGTAAGTATCTCACAAGTGAAAGGACTTACTTTAGGAATTGCACCATTTGATTGAGGGAGCTATAAACTGGCTGAACTTGAATGGGATACACTTCTTGTGACTCCTTACGGCTGTGAATGAAATTATTCAGATCTACAGTGTAGTGCTGTCCTTTCCAAGTGGTTCTGCAAGGCCTAATCATGAGCATTCCTCTGGTGACTGTCTAACCAGAGAGAGAGAGAGAGAGAAAGGAAAAGAAAATAATCTGAAGAATTATATAGAATTATGTAGAAAGGCGTGAGAGTTGAGACATTTTCTAGATCTAGGCCAAATGTGGGGAATCTTTGGCCCTCCAGATGTTCTTGAACTATAGCTCCCATCATTTCTGGCTATTGACCATGCTTGCTAGGGCTCTTTATCTAGACCATCCCAGATGCTCAGAGAATAAAATTCAATTTCTTTTGAACATTGTGTTCTATTTCACAACTGTTCTTAACTATGATTCTCAGTAATATAACAGAAATGATATATTATTTATAAGCTGCCCACCTGACTGAGTTGTGCCAGCCACTCTGGGCGGCTTCCAATAAATTAAAACATCAAGCACAGTAAAGCATCAAACATTAAAAACTTCTCTAGACAGGGCTGCCTTCAGATGTCTTCTAAACATAGTTGTTTATTTGCTTGACATCTGATGGGAGGGTGGGCACCACTACTGAGAAGCCGCTCTGCCTGGTTCCCTGTAACCTTGCAATGAGGGAACCACCAAAAGGCCCTTGGCACTGGATCTCAGTGTCTGGTGATGGAGATGCTCCTTCAGGTATACAGGACCGAAGCCATTTAGGATTTATTTATTTGTTACAGTAAGATACCATCCCTATAACTGAGTTATCTGGGAAGTTTGCAGACCATTAAAAATGCAAAATACAATGCAGAATTTAAATGATAAAATCAAATGAAACAGATTATGAATAAATCAAATCAGCTAAAACCAATGCAAGCACAACAGCTAAAAACAATTTAAAGTCAAAATAAACCCAGGAAGGGGAATAACTTAGTGCAAAGTTCTAAAAACACTAAAAGTGATCTACCACTATAATTAAAATTGTGAGGTTTTGGAGAACAAAAAGGTCTTCACTACATCCGCCTAAAAAGCAATAGCACGAGCACCAGGTGTGGAATGCATTTTGTTGCAACATCAATACATTCCTTGTTGTCATCTTCTTACCTCTGGCTATTTCTTCCATTTATCCTGTTTTATCCTGACAGTAAAAAACACACACCATACTGTGTAAAGAGGATTCTGCTGGGGATTGTGGCTATTTGGTAGATGCCATATCTTGCAGTAAGGACCAAATGGATACATTGCCACATCCTGAAATCTGACTTTGCCTTTTGATCCATCCCTATGGAAGGAAAAACATCATATTTTCAGTTTCTTGCTTCTTCTGCTATCCCCCAGAGCAAATGGATTATGTTGAAAGTTGACTGAACATAGAGACACTTTACTTACACCAATAAATTTTGTACATTCCATGAAAAGGAGTTGTGACAGAACAATGTAACATTGGTGTTTTTAGGACAGAAGTGATGGGATACAGTTACTTTTCTACAGCAGCAGAACCTCAGATGTTTGTAGCACCTGATCTTTATGATTTGTATTTTTGTACTGTAACTTCTCTGTCTTGTCTGAAGATGTTCCAAAGGTTGTCCCGCCTTTTGTTAATAATTGGGCAGCTTTGTACATTTTGGTAACATGAATCATGAATTTCTCAGAAGCCGATGGGGCACTGTTATCATTCCTAGCCACCTTAGATAATTTCACTTATAACAGCAATCTTGAGCAATTGTACACAGCCGTCTGAGGCTCTGAATTCCTTACCTTTCAAACACTTTGATTTCTGAGCTATGCACATCACAGTAAAGCATCTCCAGGTGCCTCTGAGCTGATTCGCATATATTTTCCCACACTCCTCTTTCTGAATGCATTATTTGCCAGTGCCAGCTGGCACTGATTTCCTTTTTGGCGGAGCCTAAGAAGGAACTGGTCAGAGATCTGGATCCCATCTTTCCAGTATATAGAAATGAAATCCATACTCATCCTCTGTTGTCTCTTTACCGTCACCTCCATGCTACATGTTTTCCATATGAAGAACATGTTGTTTTAGCAAAAATCATGCGAAAAGATAATTGTTATGAAAGCACAACTGCAAAATATTTCTTTCAGAAGGGGTATATCTGCACCACAAACATTCACTGGTTTCATACTACTTCATTTGTCATAGATGCCCCCAAAGGGTTGCTGAAAATTTTGTTAGGTCCCTGCCTGTTTTCACAAAATCACTGTTCCTAGAGCTCCTTGGCAAGAGACAAGGCCTATTAAACCAGGTAAGTCTGTAATTTAGCTATGTTCTAAGTGTAGCTTTCAATGAGATGTTTTGATAGCAGCTTCACATCATTTGTACAAGCTTTCCTTTACCAGTACTACTTTCCTTAGCACAAAAACATCTTACGCTAGTTCCTCACAGGTGGAACTGTTGGTTCATTCAATAGCAGTTAAAGGCGTATTCTCAAATCATTGGCAATCATATACAAGGTGTGCAGATAAATACTGCTTCTAACAAAATGTTAGAATCCCTAGGCTCCAGGCCTTGGTTAGCTTTCACACAAATTAAGCCCTTGTTGCAGGTCTTCCCGTCCCTCTGAGATTCATCCTCCTCAGCCTGCACACAACATTGTTTCCACAGTACGTCCCCAGTCTCTCAGACAGAAAACACTGTGGAATCAAGGTTGAAAACTTGTTTTCTGGCATGCTTCCTAGACTTTTAACAATTGCCTGACCTATAGAAATTTGTTTGTAAAGGAGGGGAAGTTCTGTTGCACAGCTGAAAGTTTTTGCCCTAGTGGAACTACATTGTTGGATCCCACATACATATACACCTGTAACTCGGATAATATGTCATGTATCTGAAGTAGACTATACTCCCCCAGGCTTGTTCTTTAATACATTTGCTAGTCTTTAAGATGCCACAAGACTCTTTTTGTTGCTTCTGCTGCAAGAGATGGTAGCAGGGTTACTCCTGGGGGGCACTACATTATTGTTACATTTGCTAGCCTGTGTAGACAGGTCCTACATAGATTTCATGTGTGACGTTGGAATTCATTGAAAATGTGTGGCCCAGTTTCCAGGAAAGGCAATGCTGAAGAAGTTAGCAGCAGCAGGACATTCCTGGACTTCTCAAATGATATTTTGCACTGCAGCAGATACCACACTACCAACATAATGTAAGGAGAGGGTTGGGTGGGTGGGCTAAGGATCGCCTCTTCCTATCAAAAGGGATAAGGATGCAAGAATGCCAGCATCATATAATCCTGATATTTTGGGGTTCTTAAATGCATAGATACAAAAGGCTTACTGCCTGAAACTGTTGCTTTCCAGCTTGTAGAAGACCACTGAATTGGCAATTGGGGGACCAGCAGGAAGAGCTGGTATGTTCATCCTCCCCCCACCCCGGTGTTTACTTGAACTAGCCATGTAACACAAGCAAGCATAGGGCTTTGCTGTGAAGTGGATAGAGAAAAGCAGAGTGGGTATCAGAACAGGGTTCAGAGAAGCTTGTGGCGGTGCGGAAGGAAGAGAGCACACTATGGAACACAAGGTGAGAAAAAAGGGAGTTAATAGAGAGCTGGTTGCAAAGAAAACAGGGAGTTGGAACGGTAAGCAAAAACACGAACTTATTGTTATCAGAACAATGTAGCTTTCTTGAGCAAATGGGAAAGTGGTGCAATCCTGCATTCCTTGGGTAAAATGGAGATGAAGAAAATTCTAAGCTCAAGGAAAAGTGATTGGAATACAAACATGATTTACCTAGATAAGAACAATAGAGGTTACACGCTTTTATGCTAAATAATGCATGAGGAAATGTGTTGTGGTTTAATGAGTGAAAAAGGATAGCTTAATAGCCTGAGAGCAGCTAAACTTTACTACAGCTCCAATAAATAATGTTTTATGCATATATTTTTTTAGATTAAGTAAAATGTTTCCAGGAGTGGGGGAATAGTGACAGCCTTAAGTGCAGGAAAGAAACAAAAAAGTGTAATCTTAATTTCACTGGGATAGTTCTACTTTCAAGCTACTTTTTTTAAAGAAGCTATCACCTGGAATCTTTTCCTTCGCCTCCCAGCCTCTCATCTTCAGAGACCAACATTTCCCTGCCTCCCACCCAAGGTCCCTCTATCAACCATCTACTACCCCCATGAGTGCACAATCCTTGGACCCTAATAAAGGCCCAGAGCAGAGAACACAAAAGAAGAAAGAAAATAAACAGAAACGGGGTGGGCGATGGGGAAAGAAAAAGAAAGAAGCAAGAAGAAGACAGGAAAAGGAAAATAAAGAAAATAAAAAAGAAACAATCAAAAATAAAAAAGGCTTCTGAATTTCTATCTGCCAGTTACATAATTAAAAAATATTATTTAAGACATTCACTCTATAACATTCATCTTCTCCACTTTCTGTTAAACAATGTTTCTTTTAAATCCAAGTATCTCAAAATCATTCATTTCCTTTTTCCACAAAAATTCTAAGAGATCCCAAACAGTTATTATTAGTAGTAAATGTCAACTGTTTTTTTTTCTTTTATATCAACTTTGCCTCTAGTAATTCCCACAAACATGTCTTCATATTGAGTAATAGTAAATTCATCCATCCGTATCCATGTTAAAAGTCTCTCCACGGTGATCATTCATCCATCCGTATCCATGTTAAAAGTCTCTCCACTGTGATCACATATTGAAATTATATTCCATCATTCTTTTCTTGTTATATATCCTTTACTTCACACCCATATCTGTATAATCAAATTCCATTTCCTATTGTATTTCCATTTCCTGTGGTGTTAACCATAGTTTATTGTACATTTTAAATATGAATGTTTATATGTTAATGTTTTGATGGGACTGTTTGTTGTGTGTTGTTATTATTGCGCACTTCAATCACTGTGTATTTTAATGGTGTTGTAAAATGGTTTTTTATATTTTGTAAATCACTTCAAAGTCTTAACATTAAGTGTTATATAAATTAATAAATAAGAACTAGCACTCCAAGAATTGGGTTGGCTGTTACCAAACACATTGATAATAAATGCCAACTCAAAGTTCTACTTGGAATAATGTCTGATTCTCATTTACTATGAGTTAAAGTGAAATGACTTGGACTCCAGCTCTAGTTTTGATTGACATTTGTGTTGTACCGTAATGACAGCAATGACTGAAATAATTACTTGATCTGTGTGGAGATCAACTAGTTCATTAACTGCAGCTCAATAATGTTGGTTTTAACTTGGTTTCAACTGACCCTGAACAATTTGTAGTAATTCTCAGTCTCCTTATTTTGAAGTATTACTACTGAAGTAAATTTAACTTGTATGAAGTAGCTTCAGGATTGTGGCTCAAAAGTTCTAATATGTTAACAGTGCATTACAACTATTTGACTTGTGCTAGTTTAGTTAAAACACAGGAGTTTCTGTGGAAAATGATATTTGGTGAAAGCAAGTACAGTGGTACCTCGGGTTAAGTACTTAATTCGTTTCTTAACCTGAAACTGTTCTTAACCTGAAGCACCACTTTAGCTAATGGGGCCTCCTGCTATCACCGCGCCGCTGGAGCACGATTTCTGTTCTCATCCTGAAGCAAATTTCTTAACCCGAGGTACTATTTCTGGGTTAGCAGAGTCTGTAACCTGAAGCGTCTGTAACCTGAAGCGTATATAACCCGAGGTACCACTGTACTTATATCCCCCCCGATCATTAGATCACATGCATCCTTTCCCTGTGTCACACAATCCAGTGTTTCTTACTACCAATGGCAAATATGACTTTATTCTGAATGCCATTTCTCCCTCATCTCTAAATAAACACATCATTCTCCATTTGGTGGCAGGGGCACAGTTTAGAAGGTATGGTTTTACCTTGCCTTGCAAGGGACCTTTCATGTAGCCACTTCAGGGAATAGCATTTGGGGGAAAGGATGTGCCAAGTGCCCAGCCTGAAGCCAACTGGGCATGCTGTCTATATGTGCATGTAGGGTTCCAATGTTCTCAGGGACATTTGCTGAAGTGGAAGCCTGTGTGTGGCAGATGTAGATGAAAATGGCATGTCCAACTTTTCTGTACAGAGGGAGACCAACCTGGCCTCATCCACTGACCAGAGTAGGTCACATCCATACCTTACATACTTCTGAGACAGCTACAACACCCTTAGCAAATTAGTTAACAGTATTCTTTGGGGGAAGCCATGTGCTTTAGCTGTGTGCTAAATGTGCTTTAAATGTATAGTGTGGGTGTGACCGAAGTCGCTGCAGGAAGTTTTCTTCCACCCTCCCTGTGAGAAAGGACAGCCTGTTGTGCTGGGACTGCAGAGCTGAAGGGCAGCACATTCTGGTCTGTCCTCAGCCAGGGGACCAGGGGCCACTGGGAGACTGTCTCCCTTCCTTCCCAGGAAAAACATAATAGCATGGGGAAAACCAGTCTGGCCTCATTCACTGACCACAGAAGAAGCATCTGCAGGGAATTTCCTTCCCCACTCCCTGCCAGAAAAAAAACACTTGGCTCCAACCAAGGCTGCAGAGCTGAAGGGCAGCACACACACTGGCCTCTGTTATGATCCAGAATCACTGGGAGAGCCTCCCTGGAAGAGCATCATTGCAAAGGGGACCAACCTGAGGCAGGGCTCCCCTTCTTGTCTCCCCTTCTTGCCAGAAAGAGCAATTACAGTGGTACCTCGAGTTAAGAACTTAATTCGTTCTGGAGGTCCATTCTTAATCTGAAACTGTTCTTAACCTGAGGTACCACTTTAGCTAATGGGGCTTCCCGCTGCTGCTGTGCCACTGCCATATGATTTCTGTTCTCATCCTGAAGCAAAGTTCTTAACCCGAGGTACTAGTTCTGGGTTAGTGGAGTCTGTAACCTGAAGCGTCTGTAACCCGATGTACCACTGTACTAGAACATTTGTAGACTCAGATGCCAACTCTGTGCACCACATCTACTCTGGAAGCCCTATTACAGGACCTAAAAATGCTTTCCACAACATCAGGAGCTTATTCACCTGCTCATCTTCCAATATGATATATGTCTGCATCTGCCAGCAACGTCATTCTATCTATGGCCAATATGTATGCAAAAGTATGAATGGATACAAAACTGACATCGGAAAAAGACATTTCAGCTTCCGAGGATCCTAAAGGTGGTCATCAACAGAAAGGGATTACAACTCCCATCAGCTCCAACCAGCACGGAAAAGGCTAGAGATCATGGGAATTCAGCTCTGCCTGTCTACAATCTCCACCCCCTCCCCGTCAAGTATTTATGTACCTGCAAATCATCATGCATCATCCATCGAAGGCTCACACCACATTGGTTAGCCTTTAAGGTGCCACAATTACAGCTTGTGCCTCAGTTTATTTCCTCCTTCTCCTTCCCAGCCCCTCTTTTCCCCTTTTGTACCCCATGTTTTGTAAGCCTGGGAGCAAAGTCTCTGCTATTATTGATCACTTTGTGTGTGTGGTCTGGATTAAAATACAAATGAGCAAATCTCTTTCTTCTTCTTCTTTTTCAGTTAATGAAACGGAAAAGACCAGCCCCCTGTGCCATATTGTCACCGGCACATCCCCCCCCCCCTCCCTCGCAGGCGCGTCCTACATTCGCCTCCCTCCCCTTCATTCTAATCTCTCCTCAGAAAGAGACGCATTTCTTCTTTCTGCGCCACGGCTTGCGTATCTTTTGCATGTAAACAGGCACGACTCCAGCGCCACCGCCACCCCGGGGTCCCCCTTGCTCTTGCCCCTCAAACCCTTCCTTCCCGAATCCCAACATGTCGATAAAAGAAAAGGGTGGCTGTCTGTGTGGGTGGGGGGGGTGCAGGGGAACACGCGGGCCTTCTCCGCGCTCCGCCCGCTGCGTTCCTCGGCGCGGCAGGTGGCGAGGTGCGTCGTGCGAACCTCCCCCGCCGCCTTCTCCGCCGCTGTGACCGCACAATGCCAAGCTGTGGCGTTTCGGGGTGGCCGCGGGAAGCGGCGGGGCGCAGGGCGGCAGCGGTCCAGAAGCGCGCGCGAGCAGCTCGGCCTGTCAGCCCTCGTCGCAGCAAGCCGTATCGGGAGCAGAGCAGAGGCAGGCGGCGGGAAGCAGCGCCGCTCGGTGGAGGCGCGAAGCCAGCCCGGAGCCCCTCCTCCCTCCGCCGCCGCCGCGGCTCCTCCTCCTCCTCCTCCTCCTCCTCCTCCCTCCCCTGCCCAGAGCCAGCAGCCGGGATCTCAGTATTATGGCATCGAGGAGAATGGAGACCAAACCCGTCATAACGTGTCTGAAAACCCTCCTCATCATCTACTCCTTCGTTTTCTGGGTGAGTGTCCCCCGCCATGGAAACAAAGCCCCACACTGGAAGCAGCCCCGGGAGGCTGGGCGAGGGCTTTGGGGGCGCCGGGGGCGGCAATTAATCCCCTCGCCTTGCGCCCCGGGAGGGTGTGTGTGGGTTTGTGTGTCCTCTTTAGTAAACGGGGGAAGATAACGGTGCGTTGCAAGGGGAGCTGCAGCGGCTCATGTTGCTGCGCAAACGGCGCCTTGCCTGGGGAGATTTTGCAGCGCGAGTCGCCCTGCCCTCCACACTCGGCTCCTGGTTTATCATTGACTGGCTTTCTAATGGAGGAAGGGATTTGAGGCTTGTGCCTGATTTGCACCACCAGCACCCCTTTCAAACATAAAAGAGCTCCTTCGGAAGCAGCTTCAGGAAGAAAGTTGCCGGCCTCGGCGAGCTTCACGCATTGCATTTTATTTCTCTTTCTGTGGTACGATATACCCCCGGCTTTTCCCCGATGGTCTCGCAATAGCACCTCCGCCTTGAAAGGTTGAAATATAGCCATTCGTAATCAATCTGCTGTCCTGACAGAGGGCTGGCCGACACGGTCATGTCGTTGCAGTAGAGAATCGCTATATGAATGTACTTCTGCCTGGATTTTTTGGGAGCGTTTTGCGTCTTAACCACCTCACAGTGATATTTCTCTCATTCTCTCATATATATATATATGCGCATGCATATGCGCAGGACAGAAGGGCATTTATTGCAGGAAGCTAGATACATTTTAGGGCGTTTGGACCACTCAAAATGACTTTTAAATTGCAACCTGCCTCCTAGATGGATGAATCTGGTAGTAAGAATAAAGAGAACTGTGGTGTTTATGAATGAGGCAATTGGTGCATCATGCATGAACACACAGGGAAGTCAGTAGCTTAAAACACAACCCTGTTATAGATTATATTATATATGAATTCTCTACCAGCCAGTATGTGTGGGAAGTATGATTGACAGCTCACTGATGAAGCTATTGTAAGAGTAAAAAACAACATCTATCTATTTATATCTATATCTATATCCTTCATTAAAATAAATTGCAGCCTTCCCCCCCCCCCCAAAGGTTGTTGTCTCCATGGCTTTGCCTTTGTATATACTGCAGGCAGCTCTCCTAACTATTCAGCACTGCCCACTCCCATATTATATTTGGATAAATGCCACCTGCATTTAGTGAGATCAACTTTTATTGCTGTGTTCCTTGTTCACAGTAGTGGTTGTCAATGTAGCTGTTGACGCATACAGCATATGCAAAATAGAGAATCAGCATCATATGTTTTAGAAAGTGAGTTTTGCATGCTAGAACATTTTGCTTGAAAGTGTGATATTTCCCCTGATTCGTCCTTTCGTCTCCTTCCACTGGAACAACACAGCTACCCACAGTAATAAAGCATTGAAATACACATTTTATTGTTCTTAAATCACAGTAATAAAAATAGATGTTGTGGTTCATAGTACTGAAATGCTAGCACATGCTTGACAAAGGAAGCTTAAGGATGTAGTCAGCTGTGCTTGTCAGCACACATGTGGAAGCAAACTCCACTGAAGTCAGTGGGGATTATTTGCATGTAAATGTGTTTGGAATCAAGGGGCTAGAAGAATGTAACATGTAAGGCTTGCTTTGGTTTTGCTGATGGGAGTATAAGGTTGTACTGCTATTAGGTGTTAGCCACTATTGGTTTCAAGAGACTTTCCTGCTTATCCATACCGTGTACTGTGTTAGCTGGGCATAGTTTTGTATGGGAGGTGTCCTCTACAGTAACATTCCAATTGTGGAGTGCCCTCCCTCAAAAATTCAACTGGTGCTGATTCTGAAAGGTTTTAGGCATTAGTTAAAAACATGTTTGTTCACTTAGGTGTTCGGTTAAATTGGTTGTGGAGTGGAATAGCCTATCTTCGTCAGACTTGTTCATTTATTATACCGGTACTTGATTATGGACTTAACGTTATATAAGGTTTTTATGTATTTGTTTAATATTATTGTGATTTGTTTTTATACTTTGTACCTCATTATGGGATTGTTTTGAATGAAGTGCAGTCTGGAAATACCTTAAATAAATAGATAAACAGTGTATGATGTATATTTTACTATTTTGAGGGCTGGTGATTCTAGTTCTAATTTTTCCCTTCAAGCTGACGTCAGGCATTGCTTGCAACAGCTTTGAGGGAGTGCGGGGGTGGGGTGGGGGAGAGAATATCTTCCACTGCTCATTGCTAGTGTAATAATATTACTACTTTATTAGTATGATCAGTATGATCTGTGACCCAGATACAATAAAGAGTCATTGGGTAACACAAGCCCTGAATTTTCAAACAGTGTCTGGGGAATGACATTTTCTTAGTAACCTGGTATGTTGTTCAGAAGATGACAGACATAAACAGCATATCATGTTGTGACAATGATTTGCTGATTAAAAACTCTTCAGTGGTATATAGTGACAATACAATATAATGGCCCGCTGGCCTTAATCTGCATGTCTACCATGCAATATACTAAAACAAGCTAGTCACTTCATACTGAGGAAAGCTGATTGCGCATTATCATTTTAATAGCTCTGTCATGTGGAATGCGGTGATGAGATGTAAAACATCCTTCCGCCTAAGCTCTGTTAAGCAAATCATTTTTCCAGTACCAGCATTATCATTTAACCTGGAGGACAGCTCCCAGTGCACACACACTGCTTTTATAACTTACATTTGTTTGTTTCGTTTTTAAAGCACTTTATTATGTAGGGCTGCTTTCTTATGTTGACTTACTTGGAGTAAGACTGACTGGATTGAGCAGACATACTTCTGAGTAAAGATGCATAGGATTGGGCAGCACGTCCTTCTCCAGTGAATGCACACATCCAGCTCTATTCACAGCTCTCTCCTTACTCCTTCATTGCTGGTACTGTTCAAGCAAGGTTTGTGCTGTCTCCCAAAAGAAAAACAATACAGCTTTAAGAGGAAGGAAAGCACTGTTATCCCCTTATGCCTACAAGTGATTCCTCTTGTGCAAGGCTGAGGTATAAGAATCCAGAGACTTTGCAGTGTTGCATTTGGAAACAAGGCTTTTTTTTTTAATGCTCACTGTTATTCCTTCAATATTGTTAGGAAATCACTTGGTGTTATCTGTGCAAATGTTGGCTTCCTGCAGATGATTAGAGAATCTTGTTCTCTGGCTAAAGAGCGGATTTGTGCCTTGAAGTCTGTCTAACTAGTTCTTTTCATGAGCAATAATCCCAGGATAATAAAAATGTTTACACACTGTGGGACGCTATAGGACACACTATAGGACCAAAACAAATAGGCATTTTTAAAAGGATGGTAAGGAGGCATTAGTAGTGGTGCTTTCCGGGCCTGTTGTGGTGAACCAAGGAATGAAAAGGCTTTAAAAGAAAAAACACAAACATTCGTTCTTTCCTATAATTATGAATTAGACATGAAGGTTACATCTTCATTGCAGCCCCAAATACCGGTAGTTTTCAAACCTGTGTGAAGCAGCAAGAATGGGATTCTTAGAGAACCTTTAGAATTCTAATTTTGTGAGAGTACGATGAATCCCTTGCGCATTTGCACAGTTCCTTGCACAATGAATGTGTTTTTGTTGTACACCATGAACAACAGCATTCTTTTAATTTTTTTCTGCTTTAGTTAGGCTCTTGTTGACACATAACGCTGATGCTCTCACTGGTGTGGGAGGTTTCCTGCAATGGGATTCCCACGTGACCTTGGCATATGCATGAATACTAGAACCCTGCGGCAAATCACTTGGGTTTCCCCAGTCAACTGATGCCCAGTTGAGAAGCCATGCATGTGTCTATGGGACTCTGGCATTCTTGCACTTACTGCACATCTGTGAGATTTTGCCATAGGGAAGTGGCTTGCACTCACTAATGGTGTGTGGGAACAGGGCCTTAGTTCCAATAGGTGATGAGTCAGGGCCAAACTGCATGCTACTTTGGAGATCCATGATTGATTGATCTGTTTTTTTGATAGAACTAAATGAAGGCATGTGTCTGCGGGGACTTTGACTGGGGTAGCTGCTGGCTACAGGGTTATTTAACGTTCCCCCACCAATGCAATTTTCCCAATCTAAATTACCCTCCTGCAACTTCTATTTGCCCTGTGCATGAAAAATACAGATAGCTTTTTCTTGCTTGGATCTTCCCTCTTCAAAGGAAATAGTCGGGGGACGGTGTGGGGGAGAAAGTTGTTTGCCACTTCACTGCCCCCAAGAAATTTGGGTGCTTTTATTTGGGGAAAAATTGGAAGACCAATCACAGATCTCCTGGTCTAATGTGTTGCATTTACACAGAAATCACCCTTTGACTGCTTAAGTACCATTGTCGTTTACTGGAATTCAGCTCATTCACAGTATGGTGGTTATTCCAGATTTATTAGTGCCTTTCCCTCAGGGCTGTGTGGAAATGCCACATTCTCTTCAGTCTAAAGCGTGAGCTTTTAATATACCTTTTCTATGGATGGGAGTGTGAATAAGGAGAATGAGGTGGGAGGAAATGTAGGCAGCATATTTGGGTGGGTTACATTCTCTCCATTCTGATTTTGGTAGGGGATGGAGTATATGGACTCTTTGCTTCTTTCATTATACTTGTGTTTTGCTATTGCAATTTAAGTTATGTGCCCATTTTGTAGTTGCAAATTGTTCTTATTTACAAACATGCTGCCATACTATGATGAATCTCAGAGGAACATTGGCAAATACCTTTCTGTAGGACTTAAATATAAAAGTCTTGCAAAACAATGCATAGAAAAAAGATAACCATGATAATTTTATTCCCCTAGAAGGCACTTGTAATGGAATTGCTGATCCAGCCTCATTCACAGAAGCACAAACTGTATATTAGAATGCCAAATTTACTCTGTTCTTATAATAGTGTGTGCCTTTGAATTATTGGTAGCATTAATCATTCCTGCAATGAATGTCTAATTGGGTTAGTGGAATCAACACTCCCTCTACCCCATATTTTCCTTGGACTGCTTCTGTTTTATTGCTCACTGATTCAACTTTGCATTTATACATCTCAGCAAATTGCTTTGAGAAGATTGGCTAACAGGGCTGCTTCCCATCCCTTCTTAATGTAGGTTCTTTTGGGGCCTTCTAACACTGTAAAGTGAGTTGAACAGTTTCTGCCGTTTCCAAGAGTAGTCACGATGCAGAAAGTAACAAGTTGGTTTTCTGGGTCCTGCACAAATGACTGTTAAATTGAAATCAGTAGACTAGCGTTTTAAAACCTTTATCTATTTTAAGGACATGAGCTGGTTATTTCCTACACTAAGAAAGAAAAAGTATGGAAGTGCATTGTGAATGTTTAAATCACAATGTTAAAATACAATCTTAAGTACTTTAAAATACTGACTACTGAACAGCAAGTGTGTGTATGAAGATTCTGGTGTTAGAAAGTCTTGAAAAACATGAGTAAACAATAAAAAGAAAGGTGCAACAACTGCAGTAATCTACATTATATAGGCAGTAATCTGCTTCTTAATGCCCCTCATACCATACTTTTTAACCAGTGTTTGTACAAATCACACCTGCATTTGCTGCACTAGCAGAATTGGCTGTTTTATTTTGTGCAATGGCCTTAGCAATATGTGCAAAGGCCTGGCGTCTGTGGTACTTTGGACAGTTCCATGCATGGCCCAGGCTGGAGACTTTGTAAGAGTCCTGATGTTGCTTCTGCAGCAATCAGCTTGAGAATTGGCCTCAAATAGGAGCTGCAGCTTTATCTGTAACAGGGAGCTGGTGATTCCACCAGGACTTCTGAGCTGGTGTTCTCCGAGTCCAATGGGAGCAACATGACATTCTTGGGTCAAAGAGGTAATAGCTCAATGGTCTCCTTTTGTACAAGTGCTTTTGGTTGATTATGCACATGTAGAGCTGGCTCTGAGAGCAGTTCCCTCTCCACTCCAAATCCCAATGCTTTAACCCCTGAAGATCATTAATATGGTGTTGATTATCAGACATCTTCTTAGGCTACAGTCCTAAATACAATCTCCTTGAACAGAGTGGGACTTATTTCTGAGTAAACGCCATATGGAATTATGCTATTAGTATAGCTGCAGAATGCCTGCATGAGCTTTCTGTGTTTCAGAGTAACTACTTCCATCTATTGTGTCATAAATCATACATTAAAACAAGCATTTGTGTCTGCTGTTCCCTCTCTCCTGACCAGCTTTATTGTTCTATTAGACAGGAGTGGGACATCTTGCCAGAAACTATGTGAAGAGCTGTATTGGATGCATCGGTGCTATTGACTTAAAGTGGTTATGCTGGGTGCCTGTGTTTCTGTTCTGAGTATCTATCTAATTTTTTTTAAAAAAGAGGTTATTTGTGATTCTGGTATGACTAAAGTAGATTCTAATAAAGAATAACAAAAGCAAGCACAATCAGAATAGTGAATTCTAGAAATGAAACTTTCAGACAATTTACGTGGCCAACATGCCTCAAAACATAGATTTCATGTTAAGTTCCAAAAAGATTTTTGTTGTTACTGTTACTGAAATGTCTAAGAAGAATGATTTTGAAAAGTAAAAAGCATTTACAAAGTTCCTCTGTAATTTAGTATGTGTGTGTGTGTGTGTATATATATATATAATATTATATATATATTCATTCAGCAGTGGGGGTTGTATGCCTAGCAGACAAGGAAATAAGGTTTGGGAGAGCAGATTTTCTTATTAAAGTATTGATCATTTTTTCATCACAAGATCAATGTGCTTCCAACTTTAAGCATTGATCTTTGCATTTTGAAAGTACAATTGCTTTGCTCTATAACATATGTTCAGAAAATACTGGTGAACAAATTGACAATATGAAAGATAACCCTGGAAAGGCTTAGCATGAGAAATTAATCCGTGTCTGTAGAACAAGCCTTCTCTGGCTGAATCAGATAGAGAAATGCTGCCCTTTACTTTTGACACCATATCAGGAGGTATGCCACTTGTGTACAGAAGCTAACACCCAATTTGAACCAAGAAATTGTTTAGTAGCAATAATAGCTGCATTAATTAGGGCCCCCCCCCAACTTGACTCTTGGTGATGGAGTATTTTTAAAAGCCTTTCTAAATATATGCTTGCTTTTACACGGTTTGTGTTTTGTACCCCACCATCATTCATTGTGCTTGTGCTACCCTTTGTGTGTATGCACAAGAATGGTAAGAGGCTATGAGGAACAAGCCAAACAGGAGTAGCACATGGTGAGATGGGGCTGTGCTGGTTACCAGATTCCTCTCCAGCTGTATTGTTGCTGCATATTGGGAGAGAGAGGGAAGGGGTGAGGTGGTATGAGGTTGGTAAGGTGCAAACGCACCAGCAGGAGTACCAGATTGGCTCTGCTGGTGCCACACCTCCTGGAACTCAGCCAGAGGTCAGGTGAGCATTGCAGCCCCATCATGTTGTCTACAACTGCTAAGGACAGCCCTGCTATATATTTGCTAGTAAATTTACTTGTGATTAGGCACTCCTACTCCTTGAAAGATGTGGGTATCTGGAAAGTTCAACAACATTGACTTCATTAGTGGCTCAACATAATTTCAAACCGCCTTCATTCGGATTGTTAAATGGCACAAGTGCTTTCTTATCTAACCGCAGTCAAGATGATGCAGCTTTAGGCTTGAGATGGGTGTGACCAGGCTCACTACTTATGTCCACGTCCCAGCAGAGTACCCTAAACATAGTAGCACTACAGTACAAACACCAACACTCTACAACCACATTCCAATTATTCCTCCACTCATACCACATAAAAGTTTAAGAGGTGTACAAAAACAGCTGCTCCCACCCTCCAGTCATCAGCTCATTTGCATGTGGCATATTGAAGGCAATGATTTTGGTGCCATTTTAGGGATTGTGTTTAAAACTCCAAAATGGTTTTGGGAAGAAGTGAGGAGATGTACAATGGCATCAGTGGGGTGGTAGTGGTAAGCGTCTTACAGAATTTTTTATTGTTTTTTTTTAAAAAAAACTGTTCCACCCTGTCTTTTCCTCATTTCTAGGTTCACCCAAAAAATAAACTATGTACTGAGAAGAAAAGGGTAAACTTCAACCCATAAAGTACATTTTTTTTTTTTGCAAAATTATATTGTGCTCTGCAGTTCCTGCTTTTGGATAGTCTAGATCAATAGTCTTCAACTTTTCCAGACTCAGGACTCACCTTTAATCAAAACATGCTTTTAGAGACCAGTTTCTTAAGTTTACACCATATATTTGTATGGTGGTTGTGCTACAGTTGTGATCCATCTTAGATCAAGCCATGGCCTGTTAGTGGATCCCAAACTATCAGTTTTGATCTTGTGTCATTGATCTAACTTGGGTTATCCTTTCCAGATGTGGTTATTATTGACCACATACTTGTCTGTTTCCTGCTGATCTTCTTTTTACATCCTGCTGGAGCATTGAAGCTTTAGGTCATGTCTTTGCACAAGAGCTATGATCCTTCAAAAAGAATAGGGCTGTCAAAAATGTAACCAAAACGTGTGCATTTGTTTAATTTTCATGTTTTTTACATTGCAAATAACATGAATTTTCACTTTTTCTTATTTGCATAATTTAGCTGCTTAATGAAGTAGAGCTTTAACTTTGATTACTTTATTGAATTTATTCCAAATGAACTAGGCAAAGTAACTGTTCAACTTCATTAAACAAGGAAACTAAGCAAATCACACAAAATCAAACTAGTCTGGTTGTTCCCCTGCTGTACCTTTGATCAGTAATTTAATCAGTCACACATACTTGACTTTTTCATAATTTCTGTATATAACTAATATTTTTCAAGGCTTAAGCAATTTTTTTTTTTTAAATTTGAGCTGTAGTAATGGATTTTCTACATTAGCAGGAGATTGGGCTACATGACCTTTGAGTCATTACCTTCCAAGTCTGTGATTCTGTGAGCCTCTAATTAGTCTGTTTACCTGATGAATCTTCAGCTTTGCTAATATTAAATACTCTATTCCTGAGAAGAATTATGAAAGTTATGTGAGACCTGAATTGAACTAGAGATGGACAAATGCCTTATTCTCTACCTGTGAGTATTTTTACTTGCTGCTGCACATTAGTCACCAGAGTAACACAAGTCTTTCTGCCCCCTCGCCTGCTGTTTCTCTGCACAAAATCTGTCTGTATGTATTCATTGTGGCCTGCTGTTCACCTCCTTTGTTTTGAGTATAGTGGACTTGTGCCCAGTTCAGCTATTATCTCAGTAGTGTGGCAGCTGTCAAAGGTTTCATATGACTATGAGAAAATTTGGATCAGCTTCCTAGCTAGACCCGCCTAGACCCAACTATCAAGGAGAAGTGCCGATTGCCACTGGGCAGGTGCTGTGCTTTCCCTACATTCCTCTTTCCTGGGCTGGTGGTGTCTGTTCTGAATACTGTCTTGCTTGCTGTTCCACTCTGAGGCTTATAGGCCTGATCCTACCCCAAATTTTGTCTAGGTCTCCTGATTTAGCTATGCTACTTATGCCTGGGAAAGGCTCCTGGTGCCCGCCTCACATTGCAGTCTGAGCTGGCTAATAATTCTGGCCAGACTTGGTTAAGCATACAAAATCAGTCCCTTTGCGAACTTCACTACAGGCCAAAGTAATACCACCTTTATAAAGGTTTAGATGTTTGGTTTGCTTTGAGTTCTTATTTTAGATCGAGTTTAAATTATTGAGTACTGCAGTGTTGTTTATAGAGGTGCCTTAATGACTGGGAATGGATGTGGCAAGTGTGATGGTAGCTGATTTTGAAGGGTGGTAACGAAAGATAATTGCCAGAGTGACCCAATTTTTCTTGCTAGTGAAGAATTATTTTGTCCTGACGGCCAGCAAGTCATTTTAAAGGCGTAAGAACCCAACTGGATCAGGCCAAAGGCTCATCTGGTTCAGCATCTTGTTCTCACAGTGGGCTGTCAGATGCTTAAGGGAAACCCACAAGCAAGACCAAACTTCACTCTCCGCACTTGTGATTTCCAGCAATTGGTGTTCAGCAGAGACAGAATACAGCTGTTGTTATACCAAAGGCAGTGTATTGTTATTCTTTGCTATGGCCAATATATTGTTTTTTAAAAATAAGATTTTATTAAGACGTTTCATAATACATTACAATAAAAAAATAAACTAATCTAAACAAAAATTATTTCCTTTTATTTTTTTATTTTTGTTTAACTATGGCCAATATATTCATGCTTACATTTTAGTGCTTTATTGTATTCCTGTCAAGGAACAACAAATCCTGAGGGTTGTTGTTGTTTAGTCGTTTAGTCGTGTCCGACTCTTCGTGACCCCATGGACCAGAGCACGCCAGGCACCCCTGTCTTCCACTGCCTCCCACAGTTTGGTCAGACTCATGTTTGTAGCTTCGAGAACCCTATCCTGAGCGTAGGAACATATTTTATCTAAGCAGTAGTTTTGGTCTTGATGATATCAAGGTCAATACGTATGCTTTTTTGAAAAGGCAGAAATGGCTAGCATTAGAGCTCTGGGTTATTATTAAGAAATGCTTAGATACATTGTTAACATTCTGACTCGCAGCATAATATTATCCAGTAAGATGATACTGATCGTATGCACGGTTTATATTGGGCTGAATAATGTTAAAATTATAGTCCCTTCAGTGAAAATGGCTGAATGTGCAGCTTCTTACCCCGCTTGCTTTATCCTGTAATCATAATAATGTTTGTGACATTCATTGCATGGAACAGATCAGCCAATTCCTTCTTCCAATACCACAAAATAACCTTAAGAAGCTACAACAAATGGAAAGACTGAATGGGGAAATGTGAATCTACCATAAAAAAAACAACCACATTTTTCCAAGCAGACTAAGCAGTAGTTGAAGAGTTAGGATTATACTAGATGTGTCAATAAACGTTTCTTTGCCTTTAATTTGCAGGGTGTGTGTGTGTGTGTCCATGCAATATTATCAACCAATAGGGGAGTTTCTTCCAGTGAAAAGACTGGCTACAGAGAAGGGATTTTCCTCAGGAAAGAAGTAGTAGCGGGAAGGCTTAACAATTGCCCAGGGCAAACTTGAGGCAACAATCTGCTTCTCCCCCAGCTGACACTATTCACTATTCAGCCAGATGAGCGGGGTATAAATAATAAAATTATTGTTATTATTTAAAATTATTATACGTCACATTTTTAAAAACACAAGTTAAATGCAAAGGCAAATTTAGCATTTTTTCTTAGATTGTGTAGCCTCCTACTCTGTGGTCTTTTCTGGGCAAAGGCCATGGAGCATTCATGGAAATACATGGGCCTTTGAAAGCAGGACTGGGGCAAAATGTGTATGATCCAGCCAAAGTTAAGCTCTTTTAAGTTCCATTTATATTAGTGGGAAAGAGTTAAGAGCTATGGGAGAGTATTTCAGTTAGCTCTCCCATTGAAACCAATGAGATTGTTTGAAGCAGTGGCAACCCTTCTCCTTTAAATGAAGGGTGGGCTGCTTCAAACAGCATTCCCCTAACCCTTAAAAAACTATTTTCCAAAATAATAAAACTTATAACAACAATAACTGTGTACAAGTCTAGTTATATATAATAAAATCTCCACAAAAATGTTTGTAGTGTCATTTCAAGCATATTCTTAAGTCTATAGCCTCTCTCCACAGAGAAATTTGTGTAGACGGATGATCCTTTTGGACCACATTTTATCTGTGGGAGAGTGGACCTCATTATTTGTCTCTTGTCCTTGTAATACATTTCTCCAATTAATAAAATCGCTGTTTTGGGACAAAAGGCTGCACATAATGTATTTGAGAAAAACGTGCAAAGGAAATGCTTTGGCCCTGAAAGGTGAACTAAAAAAACCCTTAATAAGTAAATAAAATAGCAACTTCAAATCTTGAAATTTCTTTGGAGAAGGATTATAAAGCAGGATCAAAGGGAAAAACAGAGATTAACGATTCACCCAGAGGTCCTAGGCAATACTTTATTATTTATTATTATTATTATTATTATTATTATTATTACTACTACTACTACTATTAATTGAATTTCTATACCGCCCTATACCCGCAGGTCTCAGGGCAGTTCCCTGTAACCCTGTTCCAATATTATGCCCCACACTGTTATAATCCTGTGAGGGGAGAATGCAGGCTCAAGCTTTCTGGCACTGGCCCTACCATCTGCACCAGGCTTCCTCAACCTTGGCCCTCCAGATGTTTTGAGACTACAATTCCCATCATCCCTGCTAGCTAGGGATGATGGGAGTTGTAGGCCAAAAACATCTGGAGGGCTGAGGTTGAGGAAGCCTGATCTACATATGGGATGAAATGTCTGAAGAGGAAAGTCTGCTCAATGCATCTAGGCATCCTGCATTATTTAAAAGCTACTGCAACCAGGGAGACCGCAAGTGGTATGGAGCATGGGGCTCACGTCGGCAGCTGTGGCCCTGATCTTTCCCTCATGTCTTAAGAATAATTTTTTATTAACCGACCAATCACATCAAATCAAACCAAATTACATAAATTCCAAATTACACAGCCGAATTTTAAATTTTTGTTGGGGGTACCCATATTTCAAGTTCGGAAGGGGATCCAATCAACTTCTTGCTGCTGTTTTAATGTCCACAAATCTAACCATATGATGTTCACAGTACTATCCAGTCCTTTCTTATTATTTTTCCACATCTCTTGTTGTTATTTTCATATATTTTTCCTTTCTCTTTGTGACCTCTGATAGTCTCCACAAGCTGGTTAAAACAGTTTGTAATCCTGCGTGGATTTTTTTTTTAATCCAGTAGCCATATCCAGACGTTTTCCATATAACATCACTTCCATACATCAAAACAGTCTTAGCGTCATTAATCTTCACCAATCTGCCTCCTTTCTCAAACCTCTGAGGAGATTCACCAGGAATGCAGTCTGAAAACAAGTCCGTTCCTCCTCCCGGCTATAAATCCTTTGGCAAAATGGCGACTCTGAATTAATTGCTGCGCCATTCCAAAAGCTCTTATTGCTTCTCGATCTCCATAAAGCATACTTTTGGTTAAAGTTTATCTCCACACAGACCTCAATCATCCTGCTTGGGTCAGTTAAACCGACGGTTCTAACGAGGAGGGATTCTTGGTAAATGACATAGAAGGAAAGTAAAAAAGCCCCCCCCCATTCAGTCCCGTTGCCGACATACCCAGCCTTTGGTGTATCTTCATCGTAAAATATTCCTGTTGCTCCAACCCGTCGTCTTCTTTCGCAGAGGTCCCTTAAATTAGCAGTCTTCACTCCCCTTCTTCACTTGAAATATGTGCATTTGCTTCTTTTGTAATTAATTATTCCAAATTGCTGCAGCTAGTGCGCTATCAGAGACAGTGTCCAGGAGAGCTGAGGTCCACACGGGGGCATTCTGCCTAGTGCCCTCACCCCCTTCTTTCGAATTTGGGGGTGATTTATGGGCACAGCAGGCAAGGGCAGTGTTCCCCATTCTCTTGGGGCAACAAGGGAGGCTGCCTACTCCCATAACAGCCTCTTAATTACCCTGTGTGGGTCGGAGAGATGGTATTGTCAGCCATATTCCAATGCGCCCCTAGTGGCCCCTGATCTTTCCCTCATGTGATTGTAATTGTGTAATGCAAAACACCTCAACAGGGTTTGTGTCTAGGCCTTTATCTTGTTCCCAGTGGACTACTGGTATTGTATGCATCACTTTTGGCTGAAGCTCCATATGTTTATTTCAGGTCTGGGCAACTTGTGGCCCTCAGATGTTGTTGGACTTCCATCATCTCTGACTGTTGGCCATTCTTGACTGGGCTGATGTGTGCTGGGAGTCCATTGATATGTAGAAAATGCAACATTGGCTACTTCTATTCTATTTTATACCAATCCTGAATGGGTGGACAAGTTTTCAGACTTCCCCCCATTATGTATATTAGTGTTTCTCTTTGATATTTGTCTTCTTAAAATTACTAACTACATATGCTATGTATTTTATTGGCAACTGATTGTAGCCTGCTCTAGGATCATCCAGTATGTTTAAGGGCAGGATAAAAGTATTTTAAATAAACAAAACATTTCCCCCCTACCTATTATATTGGAAGAGCAGTATATGAATGCCCAATAAAAGCTTCAGGATCACAATTCACAGCAATAGCAAGCCAACCTGAGCCGTTTTCTGTGCATCAGAATGCTGGTAGCTCAGTAGAATGCTCCAAAATGGAGTTTGGGGAGGATACTTTTGCTTATCACAGGCTTCTTTCTTTTCTGCATTTTCATCTTCCCTTGTCCCTGCCCTTTTCCTTCATTCTCACAATCAATCTGTTATATTCAGCCGTTAAACATTTGTCCACACCCCAGTAATTGCTTATTCCTCTTTAATTAAGCACATTGTTGCACTTCTGTTTACCATTGTTCCCCTTCCCCTCTTCTGGGCAGGGACTGCGTAGTTCTCATATAAGATGATGGAGAATCAAAGTCCAGTTGGTGTCTTTAGGTACTGGCTTAATATGTAACAATTTATTGCACTTGGAAATTATTGTGTCAGTTAGATATAGAAAAACAGCGCTGATCGGGAGTGGTTACATTGCCTTCTGGATGACTCGTTCAAAAGCCAATTATAGCAACATCTTCACTTGTCAGTTAGGGGGAAAGCAGGTCACACTGCTGTTTATATAAACATCGAAAGCCCCAAACATACCAGGCTGTTTACTAGCATGTAATGTGGGCAGCTGCTTAGTACTCTGCTTCTAAAGCAAGTCTTTCAGCAAGTGCTGAAGGGAGTGGATATTTTTATGTCCTACCCAAACCGGTGGACCGAAACCCTCCAGTTTTACAAGAGTGTTTCAGGCTTCATAGTTTGGGGTTTTAGTCTTGACTTTGCATCTATGCCCCGTTTTCCTCTGCCTTTGTGTTCTATCCATTTATTCCCAAACCATCTCAGATTCATCTCTTTCATCCTCCGTGTAGAGAAGGACTGTTGGACAGTTTCTCCTCAGCTTGAATTCTCATCTTCCCGATGAAGGGCCCTGCATGAGGGGCAGGGTAGAGAGAATCTCCCCAGGTGGGAGGTTGGGAGAAGAGGGGGAAGCTCTCAGGTGAGAGCTGGGAGGGTTCACCATTCTGTGGGTGGAATAAGAATTAAGATACAATTATAGAGGACCTTGTGTTTGTTTGATTATTTATTTGTTTATATTATTTCTTCTTTTCTTTTTCTCCTTATTTATTCTCTTCCCTTGCTTATTCTCGTTTCTCTTTTATTTATCTTCTTTAGATTAGTTTGGATTTTATTGTATTTTATGTTAAAAACTCAATAAATTTGATTTTTTTAAAAAAGAATTCTCATCTTCCCCTGTAAACCAAGACCAGCCTTCCCCAACCTGGTGCTCTCCAGATGTTTTGGGCTAGGCTGGCCTAGACATTATTTCCATTTAAAAAAAAATGTGTTAGCTGCGTCTGTGAAGAGCGAAGAGAATTCAATGGCTGAATTGCTGCTGTTGCCTTCCAATGTATTATTCAAAGTCCTTTTTAGACTCTGGCATATAAAAGGGCTTCATTAATATTTCAGAGGATGCTGTGATTCTCACCAAAAAGGAACTCCTTCCCTTTCATCACTTGATACTCATGTATTTCTGTGTGAAGCAAAGATATTTGGACTCTGTTAACTCCTGAATGAGCAAACTCATCACTTTCTAAATGAACTGATTGTTCAACTATATCCTGACCTTGAGATTGATGCCAGATAGAGGTCTCGTAAGCCTGGCTTCTAACTGTGGTGATTAGGCATCCTTTTTAAAAGGTTTGGCTTTGTGATTCAGACTTCATGAAGGAACCAGTCTCAGTACAGCTGGACTTTCGTATGGAAAGATTTTGTTTGACCAGTTCCTGAACTGATTACTCAAACCATTGTGTTATTCATTTGCTTATTCACAAATGCTAGCTGTGCATTCATCTCAGATTCAAATCAGAATCATTAATTTGGCTCTTTCGTGGCCAAATTCATGTCAAATGTGATGCTCTTTAAGGAAACAACAGTCTCCTCAGAATGGTAATGAAATTGCCGCTTTCCAAAGAAGCTGAGACAATAATTTTCACTTCCAAGTAGAGATTGTCCAAACTACTTATCTTAAAAAAAACAACAACAACCCACTGCAAACATTAAGTGTATAGGTCACTTATATTGCCATGAAGAGATATAGATATATAGTTATACATATAGATTTCTTCCAAAGGAAACAGCTCTCCGCTCGCTGGGCTGCCGTTTGGCAGGCTGTGGGGAGTGAAGTGGTGATGGGATGGAAGGTGTGTGGGGAGAGTTCCTATTCTTGTAAGAGCACACTCTGTGCACCTTCCTTTCCACCACAAGGGTGTGTATGAGAGAAAGAGAAAGAATGTGTGAATGGCTCCCCTCATGCTCACTGCTGTGTCGTGATGCACAGGATACCCATCATCCTGGTGCTAGACTGGCTGCTGTTACCTCCCTGCCCCACACCAATTTCTACATTAAATATAGAGGTTCAGGAAGCCTCCTCCCATTGCAGGTTGTCTGGCAGTTCCTAAGGGTAACCCCCTGGCTTTTGCTAGCTTGGAAAATGAGAGATATGAGTTAATAGGTAAAAAACAAAACAAAACAAAACACCACAGTGACATAGCTCCTGGAGTCATTGACTGCTGCAGTGCAGTTTCCATTCGGCAAATTGGAACAGTGGTAAAAGAGACACCAAAGAGAAAGGGATCTAAAGGGAATTAAATAATAAGCCAATAGAGACTAAACAGAACTAGTGCAGTAAGAGTGGAAAACGCATGGACTCCTCCTCCAAACAGAACAGTACCAATACAGAAAAAAGTTGGATGCATTGCAACTTGCTATATTATATACAATTGGAAGTGCTGTTTATATAAATTTATAATACACACAGAACCAAGGTTTAATTTGAATTTTGAAATGAGTGGTTTTAGTTACATTGGTGGTTTGCATTCTTACCAAAAGAAGCAGCAGGAGGAGGAGGAGAGGGAGGAGATGTGTGTGGCTTTTCATCTGAAATTTTAATTCTTGCCATGCTTTTTGGATGTTAAGCTCTCATGAGATGAAATTCCAGACAAATAATGGGATTTTCTTTTCACTGCTTCTGCGGTTTTCCAGTTTGTTTTAAATATTTAATAGTGGAATGTTTTGTCTGAAGCATTTTTATTTATTATGTCTTGGTCCTTATTGTTTCTCACAAATATCCTGTTTTTGCTTCATTTATTTATTTAAACATTAATATCTTACCTTTTGGCTAAACAATGGAGCACCCAAGCTGACTAAAACAAAGATGAAAGCCAAAAAAATAACAACTTTAAAAGCAGAAAGCAGCTATCAATAACTACTTGGCATCTAAAAACAGAAAGGCAGCTACTTGCATTTCTTGAGACAAGATGTCCCACGACTTGGGCTAGAAGTGGCTGATAGGGCATTGCCATGGAGCTAGCCTTCAGGCAGCAGTGTTGCCATTGGAATGGTATGGGTGTAGGGTGGCTGTGAGATAGGTATTGTGCCCACACACTGCTGGATCTCCCACTGGTATGCCCTTTCCCTCACCCCAACCTGGTAAGTGGCAGTGACACTGCTGTTGGAAGGTTGTCACCATGCTACCAGTTGCTCCTGACAAGAGCTATTATAGAGAACTATAGTGCCAGCTATAGAGATGGGACATGTAGCAGGGCTTCCTATGAAAACTCAAGTGTGCAGGCAAATTTGCATGTGATACCTTCACCTATCCAGATCCCTAACAGGTTAGGCTTTAAAGACTAAAACCCAACAGTTTGAATGTGGAAGCAGGACTGGCTCTAACATAAGGCAAACTTAGGTGGTAGATGCCAGAGTGTGCAGATCAGTCAGAAGGTGTTGCAGCCTGCTTTGTGCACTGTAATCGGAGCTGCTGCCCACAGGCATAGTCAAATGCTGTGTCTTCTCACAGCTACGTCTGGTAGGCTTCTGTGTGTGGAACTGGGTTGGGGCACCATTGTGTCCTTCACCTGAGGCAGCAAAAAAAGCTTAGATCAGCCCCAACACAGAAACAAATGAGAGCTTATGAAGTTGGTACAATTTGTGTGTTCCATGGTCACAAAAACAGGCCCCAGTCAACAGGATAGTTGCTGCAGTTGCACCATCCGAATTTTCCTGACAGTTTTCAATGGCAGCCTCACACAGAGCACGCTACAGCGATGTAACCTGCAAGTAACCAAGGCATACAAAGTGGAATACCTGCTGAAGCTGTGCAAAAGCACTTGTGGCTTGGTTGCCACTTGTTGTCATGGTATTGACGGAGAACGACGGGGAGGAGGAGAGGCGAGCAGATGAAGGGGGGCAGGAAGAGCCAGTGCAGGAAAGGGGGGAAAGCCAGGAGGAGGAAAGGCTCTCAGATGCTGGAGCAGAGCCTCAACCCCGCACAGGAAGTTCTGGCACGGATAGTGATGCAGTGTCAGTTCCATCTGCTCAGGAATGGAGAGGGTTAAAGCGGAGAGGGCAGAGACATCAATTGAAAATGCCTCGCCTCTTCTGCTGGAAAAGGGGCGGACGTAAATCAATCCGGGAATCTGACTCACAGGATTCGGATGTGTAATTATGTGTGCTGCTTGTACATATGTAAAATAAAAGCTGTGTCTATGTATCTCTGAGTGAGCAGAAGCATTTCTTGCGAAGAGTATTCTCAAGCCATCACACTTATTTACCCAGGAGCAAAGCTGGATCCAGTTGCGGTTTCAAAATTACGAACATCTATTCCTGGCTGGATAGTTTGCAACTAGGCCTGTCATCCTCCAAAGGCCGCAAAGCCAAATCAGAAACCAGAATGAACAGGATTCAGGAATCCAATGAGCTAAGATGGTACTTCATGCTTCAAAACCTTCCCTGAGAATCATATGTTGGAAAGCGACCCATAGTTATTCAAGTAGGTGGCATCAAAAGGAAGCCTCCTTTCCCAGCAAAGGACAGACTACTGTTTCTATCAACCTAACTGGTGTTGCCGTTCCTTGCAAGGAGGCACTGATTATCTAAGAACTTTGACAACTGAAGCCCCTTCCATGCATTCCACTGGTCGCAAGGAGAAAGTGTGCTTAGAACTACAGTGGTGCCTCGCAAGACGAAATTAATTCGTTCTGCGAGTTTTTTCGTCTTGCGAATTTTTCGTCTTGCGAAGCACGGTTTTGGAAAAGCTTCAAAAATCACCAAAGTCTTCAAAAACCTCAAAAAAGGCTACCACACCGTGTGCTATGAGTTGCTCCTCGAAGTCAAGTCGCAACTGCACCTCTTCAAGCAATGCACCTTGGGTATTAACGGTTTTAAGAAAAAGGAAACAAACTTGCAAGACGTTTTCGTTTTTTGTCTTGCGAAGCAAGCCCATAGGGAAATTCGTCTTGCGAAGCAACTCAAAAAATGAAAAACTCTTTCGTCTTGCGAGTTTTTCGTCTTTCGAGGCATTCGTCTTGCGAGGTAACACTGTATAAAAACAACTAATGTGAGAGGAAAGGGAACTGTTTACTGTTTACAGAACTGGAAGAGCTCACTTGTAAGTGTATCTACAAAATAACGGTTTTGACTAAAGATCTTTTGGAATGCCAGATCTGGATGAGAATATTAAAGTTTACACTGAGAGATGCTTTACACTATGTTGCATTGTGAGTGCACTAATGCTTGCTGCAGTTAGACATGTAAAGGGTGAAGAGATGTCAGACATTCCATGGACATGTGCAAAGGAACCATGCCCATTTGAAGTCCTCCTGTGCATGTCCCCATAGCATTTGGGAGTATGCATCTCTGGTCAAATTTTTAGGTGACAAACTCCAGTGTAATCAATGGTGTTGTATTTATCTGTAGCTGCACTAAATTTTCTGTGGCTCCAGTTTCCCCGTGCTTTCCTCAAGAGGGAAAAATAATACCCTTTTATATTGTGCCACTGGTTTTTCTCCTAATAGGAAGTGCAGTTGTTGCTTCCATAATGCAGTTAAGGGAGCATTTTTACACCCAAGGGAGAGGCAAGCAGCCAACTGATCGTTGTGCCTGAGCAAAAGATTGGCCTTGGAAGTAAGAGAAAAACTCTGTGGAGTAGCACTTCAAGGCCTGTACAGTTCTGTGCAAAACTGAGAGATGTTGCTGTATAGCACTTGAAGGACAAAAATCAAACACTGCCAATTGTTTGGGAAATCTTAAAGCCTTCTTGACAGCTTGTAAAGTTTGGAGCTTAATTAGATGTTCTTTCACCTGGTTCTTAATGCCAGCCTGTCCATTAACTTGTAACAGTTGCCAGTCTTCAGTCAACCACTTATTTTACAGCTGTCAGACATGCAAGTCCCATACTTTTTGTGTAAAATTTATTCAGTACCATCTCTTGGAGGCCAGATTCTGTGGCAATTTACCAACCACATGAATGTGGTCGATCAGTGCAATATAATTCTTTATTATACATTCACAGATTTCAGAGAGTCACATATTCAACTAAGAACTTGCATCGAAGTGTACGTTATCTAAAGGAAGAATTGCAGAAACAAAGTTTGTTTACTTTCACAGTATTAGATAGTAGATATTATAAAGGCATGCTGGGATGGGGGTGGGCAAGGCTACAGGTAAACAGCATCTTATTTATTGGGCTGCAGCTTGTTCATTGGGTTGTGGCTTTTTTCTAAGTGGATTGTGTAAATATACATTTATTGCTTAATTGAGCATATTTACATATAGATTTCAAAAGAATTAGGACTTCTACTTATCCCACAAGGGACTCAGAAACTAAGCTGAGGGCTTATTAAAGCCCATCACAAAATTGAGGTGAGCTAACTTTATAAGCTCTCAAATTTTCATTCAGCTTGGATTTTGTTCTGATCAGTGGGAGAGGAACTGGCCTTTTCCAGCCATCTTTGCTATCTTTCCTGTTCCCCTTAAGCTACCTGTACCCCTCTTCCCTTAACTTGTTGGTGGAATAGCAGCAAAGGCACGCAGGAAGATAGCGAAGGGAAGTTTTTTCCTCCTTCACTCCTCTCTTCTTCACACTGACTAACAGTGTGACAATCTGGGCATAGGAAACCACAAGAGATGTAGTTCTTCCAGTTGCCCTTGGCATCTGGAATGAAGTGGGTGGCTTCTTGGTGTTGGCTCCCCAGCGGTGGAATGCTTCTCCCAGAGAGGCTCACCGGGTGCCCAGATGAGCTTAGAGTAGTAAAAATTGCTAGAGACTTACTCCTCACGATTCCTCCTTCCCAGCATTTTGTTTATTGCCAAATACCTAGTTTATTAATGCTTAAACAAATATATAAATTGAATATTAATTCAATTGGTTTTATGAAAAATTAGAACTTCTTGAATACATCATTCACTAGGCACTTTTTCTAACCTCTGCTCTCCTTCCCCGTCTCCTAATTCTGAGGAGCAATCTGTGTTTTTTTGATCTAAAAGAAACTGTGTATGGCAAGGCTGAAAATGAAAATAGAGGGAGAGAATCTTTGTTTTCTTGTTTACAGCCAGTGAAGAAATGAGAGTAGGACAGGCAGTGTTACTATTTGGTATGCTGAAATCTCCATGACAGATCTGAATTATTTTACAGTTCATGGTTTAGTTTTCAAGGCACACAAGCATCTGCCAAAAGTTAGGATTAAGGGCAGCAAGAGGCTTATATTATGCACACCTGACATTGACAAATGACAGGAGTGCTGGAGGAGGTCCAAGGGAGATATGACCCAGTAAACTGTTCAGTTATGCTTTTCTATGAGTATGAGCACAAGAGCATGAACACATCTTACAGGATGAATAGTGTTTCCTTAACTACCTCCAAAGGAAACTTTTCTACCCAACATATAATCATTTTGACCACTTCAGCTCCCCTGACTTGCATCAGGAGAGAGCTGCTACACAGATCTCTTTCACAGAGGTAATTTCTAAAATTACAACCTTGGCCTGACTAAAATACAAAATTGACACTTCGTGCATGTGTTTTCTCCATTTCTCTAGGTTGCGTGGTGTTAAACTGCATTTGAAATGGTGGCTAGAAACTGCGCAGCTTTAGAGCAAAGTATAATTTACACAGGATGCTATTTTAACTGTGATTGTGGAATAATAGAACAAGGTAAAAGAAAGGAATATCTGTTCAGTCCCAGCCACCAGAAGTCAATTGCATTTTTTTGTTGGCGGAGCTGACACATTGAAGAAAGTGAAAGAAAGACAGATATTTGATCCAGTGATGTTTTCTGGGTGCAAGAGATACCCAGGTCTCCTCCCTTACTTATTACAGTGGAGGAAGCAGATCCATACTGCATTCCTTTGTGCCTGTGCCCACTGTTGAAATTAACATGGCTCCCCATCTGTGCAGATATGCATCTTGGTATACACAGATCTCTCAATTTGGGAGTATACTGGCAAATGGAGGTAACTTCATTCCCTTTTTTTATTGCATGAAGAGAACCACTGGGAGAGATGATATGGAGCGCTGATACTAGAAAATGTTAAGCACCTCCTCCTGGCCTGCCAGTTCTCTCCTCCTGATTGCCTCTCTCAAAAGGGCCTTGGGCTACAGATATGCCTCTTGTATAAAATGTGCAGCCTTGCCCAAGATGGGATTGCTGCTGGGTGGCCCATTTCCTACTGTTATTATTTGGTAAACACACAGCAAGATAGGAATCAGCTGCTGAGATTCTCTCTGCTAAAATTCTAGTGTTGAATTTCCCCACAATATAGTCAGAACATGGCGGTCTTTCATTGGGCCGTCTACTCATTGAATTTCTAGGCTGTGTGTTCCTTTCTTTCTAACAATGAATCTGCTGTCTGTATGCTGCCAGCAGACTGGGCTATAATGAAAGGGAAAATGAACAGACAGAGACATAGAGCTGGATTGAAAACAGGAACCCACATTTGTATGCGAAACAGGTAGTAAAGTTTCTGTGGAAAAGTTGGTGTGATACCATGATTGTAAAGAAGACTCCCCTCCTCTTTGGTATGACTAGTCTGCTTTAGAGGGCAGCAGGTTGTCTTATTTGTGACATAATTGCTTACTATAGCATATTTATCGAGATTGAGAACAAGAACAGCAGTGATGCATAAGCTTAGAATGTTATTGGATATGAAACAGGAAATTGGAGCCTAGAAATACACACACACACACGCACCCCTAATAAAAAAACCGAGACTCCATTGCTTACTAAAACCTTCACCATCAACATGATGTTATTAAACAAATAGCTGCCTTATATATTTGAAGAAAAGTCGCTACTTTTTATTCTGTTGAATATGAAGGCCTTAAAAGCTCTTGACACTGGATTGAAAAGGCAATTCTCAATTCAAGGTCTTATGTGGAACACTGTGGTGTGCAGCATTTTTGAACTTGTAACCTCATCCTATTATACCTTTGCCTCTGAAGAATATTTTCTCATCTGAAGTATCCTACTTCCTCTTTTATCAATTTATCTGTCCAGCAGCAGCAGTACTGGAGAGACTTCTTGTCAATGGCATTGCTATCATCAGTCCACCATTAGGACAGCTGTGTTGGGCTTTGAGAATTGGGAGGGGGGAGAGAGAGAGAGAGAGAGAGAGAGAGGAGCTCTTGGCAGATGTCCTGTAAGTGGTGATGGTGAGGCGATTGTAATCATGGTAGCAATGTAGATGGTGTAGTGGGGCGTCATTGCTCACATGACCTTTGGTTGGTCATAGTGCTGCTGCTTACCTGAGATAGAGGGGAAGGGGTGAGATTGGTGCAGTTCTGCTACTGCATTTCCACCATGCTGGCCTTGCTGCCACCTCCCCACTCCCCCTCTACCTTCCAGTAAGCAGCAACAAGGTGACCAACCAGAGGTCAATTAAGCAGCACCACCCCACCATGCTATCTGCTACTGCATGCCAGTTGCTTAGATGATAAGTGTGCACAGCGACATACATGCATAGATCCCAATGCATGTAGTCTCCAATCATGTGATAAGTATACTGCAAAATATTGAGTGTACAAATCACACAATCGAGTAGTGTTTATGTATGTAGATTGCCATGTACACATGCTGTTCAACACATGAGTGCTGTGTGAGCAGAGGAGAGGAGCTAGAGTCAACCAGCACGACCACAGTTCGCTTCTATGCATAGTTAATAATTTAGATATAGAATTAGGTAGGTTTATACATCTGTGTGTGTGTGTGTGTGTGTGTGTGTGTGTGAAGGGGGGGTATTGACCGCTTTACTGATAAAATGATGATTACCGTTCTCGTTAAAGGCTTTTGCTGAATGTTTTGCACAGGAAATTAAAGGCTGAAGACTCTGGGAATGACTCTACTCATGTGCTTTAAACACAAGTCATGCTAATGCATAGTTTGTCTTGCATGACAGACAGATCCGCATTAACGAGCACTTACTGAGCAGTGCTGATATGGTAATATTTCTCCCTTTGAAGTTGATATAGGGATTCTTGAACTGATGCTAATGGGATGGGTAGAATGCTAAGGAAATACTTTAACAGTATGTCTTGTAAGAGGAAGAATGTGAAGTATGTCTGTTTGAAGCTTTGAGCAGGTATTTGAAGTCAGTGGATTGGGCAGAGGTTAAAATCTAGTCTACTGCATTGCACACGATAATGGAAAATAGGAAACAAAACTAGATAGAATTGTGGTGCAGTCTCTGCAAATTACAAGTTGTGAAAATGATACAGCTGCTTGCACATTCTAAGTGGGGCACAGGGCAAAGGAGGCTTAGGTTTCTTTTTTGAACCATCAGAAATCTATAGTGTTCAGTTATTAACAGATACAAGGGTATTCAGCCATGATCAATTAAAGCACTGTTCTTCATAGTCTCTGAGATCACTGCCTATGCAGAACAACATCTTGAAAACTTTTAGAACTTAGAAAAAATGTCAAGTGGTGTGCATACGCCACTCCTTTTAGGAGTGGGTAATGTCTCCCTGCCTACTTTTCTCTTCTGACTGCTGTTAAGCACCTCTCTTAGCTTTTTGACCTACTAATAGAATCATATAATTGTAGAATTGGATAGGACCCTGAGTGTCATCTAGTCCAACCCCCTGCAATACAAGAATCTGAACTAAAGCATCCATGACAGGTGGTCATCCAACGTCTGCTTAAAAACTTCTAGTGAAGGACTTCATTCTTTTTGAGTATTTCCATGGGACTTCACCCAGTAGTCCCTTACTTAAGCTTTTTGAAATCAGCCTTTTTAAAGTCTATAGCAGGCTTCCTCAACCTCGGCGCTTCAGATGTTTTTGGCCTACAAGTCCCATGATCCCTAGCTAGCAGGACCAGTGGTCAGGGATGATGGGAATTTTAGTTGCAAAACATCTGGAGGGCCGAGGTTGAGGAAGCCTGGTCTAGAGTGCATGTCCAACTACACTCATCTTTCTCTTGCCACTGTATAATGAAACCTAATAAGACATGATCACTTCTTCCCAGGATTCCCATTACTTCCACTTGGTCAATCAGTTCTTCCATGTTGGTGAGGACCAGGTCCAAGACAGATGTTGTTTGTTCCACTTTCTGGGAAATGAAATGGTCAGTGAGGCAACTGAGGAGTTTTAGTATTTGTTTAGTATTAAATGCATATTTCTTTTTAAATATTTGCATCTTTTGCCTTCATTGACTTCCTGGAGCTTTATTAATTTTCTGGATTATCAGCCTTATATGATGCTATGTGGATTCTTCAAAAAAGGTCTTATGACTCTTATGTGGTTGAGAAAGAAGCATAAATTCTGTTCCTGTGCCTTTTGCTGGAAGTTAACCAAGTTCATTTGATGAAATAGGACTTCCCACCTTTTGTCTTTGTTATGAGAGTGGGTGCTAAAAGACTCAGATGTGGTATCCACTGAAAGGTCTGCTAATAGAAAACTGCCAATTTCTCCCATTTTCCCCTTTGCCCTACAGTCCAGGGGCTGGAATTACTGCATCCTTCATCCTCACTGACCCAGCTGCTGACACATCTGCTTCCTTCACAGAATCACAGAATTGTAGAGCTGGAAAGGCCCATGGGGGTCCAACCCCCTCCAATGCAGGAATCTCAACAGGCAGCGTCTCCCATCTAACTTGATACTATACCAGCCCCTGCTTAGCTTTGCAAATGTGCTACCAGGTTTTGTTTTGTTTTTTGCTGCACCACTATGTTTTGTGGCTTCGGCTTCTCTCCTACTGGCCCTTGGTACACAGACCAGTATGTACTGCCTTATCCCTTAGGGAAGTTGTGTCATTTTTCTCTTTGGGCAATAGAGTCATGTTCCTCTCCTAGAATGGTACAAGCTACAATGCATGTTGTATTAGTACTGTACTAATGATGCAACATTTCTTTTAAATTGTCATCTTTATGTGCATACATATGACCTTTAAATATTATTATGATTTCTGAAAATGGTGACCACTACCATCCCAAAAAAGAGAAAGAGAGAGGGGGGATGGAAGGAAGGAAGCAGAGGGATAAAATATCAAGTGTAAATACTTCAGCAGAAGGTCACAACCTTGGAATGGATATCTGTAGCACAAGAGCTTGAACTAACAGGCACTGAGTACTCTAAACTTAAAACGGTAGAACACTTAATCTTACAACTTACAAGGCTGAAATTAAATCATATACTTTAGTAGTTGCAGAAGCTGTGACAGACAGATGTCTATACAAAATCAAATATTTTTGTGGCATTTTGGGGAAAGGTGACTTGTGCATCATGTCGTGTATCATAAAGCAATTTAGAATCATTAATAAACTAATCCTAAACCGGCCACATATTTGAAGCTATTTTGGCATATTACATGAATAAGGCTGAATTTAAATGAGCCCCTTTTGGGGGGTAATACACAGTGGAATATGGTCCCAACCCAGGTAAGACAGGAATCATGATTAGGGCTTCAGTTCTAAGCATGCTTAGTGTACATCCCACTGAATTCAGGAGGACATACTTAACATGCCTACGACTGCACTGTATTTTAGGCTGAAATCAATAGAAGTCCATGATGACTAATTCAGTACCGTTGTTTCAGAGGGAGTCATGACTGAAGTTATCTAGGTTGAGGTCCATATATTTTGTGTTATTAGTGGCAAGGCTGGGTTTAAAAAAAAATCCATGTTACTTGGACTTTTTCATGTTTCTTTCCCCTTAGAGCAGGAATGGTCAACCTGTGACCCTCCAGATGTTGTTAGACTGCAACTCCAATTGTCCATTGGCCATGCTGATGAGAATTCAACAAGATGTGGGGGACCATATGTCTGCCATAAAGCAACAATCTTTTTATTTTACTTTATTCAAAGTACACAGAAACAAAAGGGTCATGCTCGGGGGTATGGTCTGAGGGTGTATAACATTTGGTCAGTCTCTGGATGGGAATCTTACATATAATGCTTTGAAGGAAAAGAAGTAAATGTATAAATGCACTAAATACGTTTCAGAACCCTGCTTGTTCATAATTCAAAGAAGGAACGCAACAATTCTGAAGTGTGATAAAAAAAAAATCTGGCAAGTCTATTTACTTCCTATTCTAAATCTGGGGACAGTATAACCCTTTCCTTTGTCTCTTTTTAGCAAAATCTAAGTGATGGCAATAATCTTACATAAGATCTGTTTTGTTAGGAACTCTGCTGCTATTATTAGTATGCCCTCTACTTGCCATGTTGGGAGAAAGGAACAAAAGAGTCAAGTGTCTTTTTACATGCTAACAGTTTTCATTGTGGACATGTAAAGAAACTCAAAATTTCTTATTTTGACCTTGTCCCACATTTCACTTTTTAAAGAAAGATCTATTGTAAAATAATTTTAACAGAATTTTCAGAAACTGGGACAGCTCATCCACATCTCTGTGGGGCAAAGGGTGGAGTATGTGTATCTGCTTTGAAGACTAAATACCAGGAAGGTGTCGGATGTATTGACCCCTCCCCCTTTATGTTTTGTGATCCAAAGCTGTCTCTAGTGCTCTGTTACAGCTCTGCATACACAGGATTGCAAGCACCAGTTTTCAAAGAATTTGCAGGCTATCCTTCAGTATAAATATCTCCAGGGCAGTTAATAAGTTAGAATCCTAAAATGCCTACAAGGAAGAAGAAAATCAAAAGAGCAGCAGATAAAATCAGCATAAAGTGAATGCTGTGCAAGATATCTTCCTTCCGCTTTTGTGAGGCCATTCATTTGATACAAAAGTGGTGGGGTATTAATGGTGAATTCTGGGGGCAAGCAAATTTGAATACATCTTGGGTGGAGGGTGGACTTACCTTAAACATGGGGTGGCTGGGGATGATGGTGTTTATTTTTTTACAGAATTTGAAAGTTTTTCTACCACTGCTTGGCTTCCCTTATCAGCCCAGAGGTGTTCTTTTTATAATGTGGGATGGAATGCTTCAAGTGAATGGCAGTACATCAGACACAGCATCATTCCCAATGGCATTCTTGGGTTTTGTGTGTGCGTGGGTTTGTGTGACTACAAATGGTTTGCTGCTGGGCTGCTGAGGGCAGCCAAGCTGCTGCTTAAATTGGGGGCACAGCTTTCCATTGTGGTTGTAAAAACACACACAGAATATCCTTGACCATCTCATATTTAAGGTAAACTTTGTTCCACCCTAAAGGTCTTAGATTTTGCCCACACCTTGAATGAATAAACTTTATTACCGGCACGAGATAAACATGTGAATAAAATAGCAACTAGAGTTCAAACAGGTAATTGTTAGAGCAAATAAGAACACAGATAATGGATGTATAAGAACTGATAATTAAAAGAAATAAGTACTAAAAGACACGCAATTAAAACAACTATAAGGGGTGGAGCTTAAGGGGATACAAGTCTTGTAGTGTGGGCCTTCAATTTAGGACTGGTTTGTAGCACTAACCAACCTTCGGCGAATATCCATCCATCCAGCTGTCTTCCAATATGTGATTAAATTTCCTGGTACTTGTTGCTATACCCTCTGATAAGACAATGGCAGGAAACTAAAATGCATGCAGTAAATTAAAAAAGCTTCTTATGAATGTCCCTGGGGATATATATGATTATTCATGACAGATGAGAAGTCAAAGTAATCATATGGACCCTTGAGAACTGGAATGGTTCCAACAAAAATATACAACCATCAGAATACTATTAGAAAAGACAATCCAGGATACATCTGGGTGTTCAGTTGAACTAGTCCTCCATCTACTTGTCCCCCACCTAAGATTGGTGTCCATAAACAAAGCTTTTGGTGTCATAGTGCTTATCTTGCATCAACAAGTCCATGAATCCTATGGCAGAAATTAATTGTTCCTTTTGACATGCAATCTAGTAACTGTATTTCTCAGGGGCAAGGAAAAACCCATGTTCAACAAAGGAAGCAGTGGAGGAACAAAAGGGTGTTGGGGAAGGTAAGATTGGGGGAACAGATATATGAACCCAAGGCCCACTTGATATCCCCTTTGAGCTAATCCTGGAGGGTAAATAATGTCTGAATAGCCGCTTGGCAGACCAGTTCATTCAGTTGCAAAACTGCCACAGGTGGGAGGTACCTATATATTGTATCCAGAGAGCCAGGTAACTTCCAAAATTTCTCCCTGCCCCGCCACCCATTACTATTAAATGTGCCCTTATTCATTCATTTGTTAAGAAGGGATGAAAGAAAGTCTGCCACTTTGGGATGGGCGGAATGTAGATAATTGAAACAGTTATTATATGATGGACGCTGGAATAATTTCTCCAGTCTTTTGTTGTTCTTGTCACTCAGTTGATGAATTCAGGAAGTCCGTTTTCCCTTCAGGTCATGATAGAATAGTTGGGTGAGACTTCCACATTGCTCTCTTGAGTATTAAACATTCTCCTACTCATTAGGAGTATACTTCTTATAAAGAACACAGCACAGTGGAAAACTCAGCCCCTCCCGCCTTCCCAAGAAAACCCAAACTTGTTGTATATTACAAATATTGTAGTCATTGAGGCATCCAACCAGCACTAGTATCTTCTGACACGGACATTTCAAACAGGCACATTTCAAGGGTAAACAAATGCTACATTGCACTGTAACAACTTTGCTCTTTGGGGAAGAATGTGGAGATGTACTGTTCACTATCTACAGACACAGAAGCATTTGCTGCCACTTTGGAGTTGTGTGTTGTGTACCTGAAAGGAGACAGGTTGTCTCTTTGATTTATTAGCTCTGCAGCACTTGGTAATTAAGTGGCAATTGTGAAATAGAAGCAGATAAAAGCCATTTGGTTTTGGAAGCCTATTGGTGAATGTGTTGTTCAGCTGTCTGACTTCACATGGAACCTTCAGCAGCCTCTTTGCAGGTTCTTGGTAATGAAACTCTTTCTATAATTAACTGGAAGGAGCTTGATATAATTGTTTCTTCTGCCTGTGAGGTGGAATACCTGAAGGAGCCCCCTGCATTAAAGCAGCCTTGCCCAGCCTGCTGCCACCCAGATGTTTTTGGACTACAGCTGCCATCAGCAATAGCCAGCATGACCAGTAGTCAGGGATGATGGGAGATGTAGTCCAACAACATTTGAAGAGTGTCAAGTTGGGGAAAGTTGGATTATACAATAGCTGTAAGATTCGTTCTTATGTACCAGTTGTACTAGTGGGATTTAAGGGTTTAAGAAGAACCCTGCTGTATCAGTCTTAAGGACCTGTTTGGTCCAGCTAGCATTTCCTACAGGGGCCAACCAAAAGCCTATGGGAAGCACAGGAGCAGAACATGAGTGAATTACTCCTCTTCCACTACTGTTACCCAGCAATTGTATTCAGAGGTGCGCTGTCTCTGATAGGGGAGGCATTAGATACAGGCTTTATGACTAGCAACCAATGATAATCTTAACCTCCACGAATATTTTCTAATCCCCTTTTAAAAGCTCAGTTAGCAGCCATCACTATATCCACAATTTAACTATGTGCTCTGTGAAGAAGTGCTTCCTTTTGCATATCCTGAATCTCCCATTATTCGGCTTCACTGCAAGACCCTGGTGTTCTGTTATTATGAGAAGGGAAAACTTCTCCCCATCCACTTTCTTTACACCTTGAATAGGCTGGATCTAGACCAGGGGTAGGCAACCTAAGGCCCATGGGCCACAAGCGGCCCATGGGGCTCATTTAACTGGCCCACGAGCCGCCCCCAAACCGAGCCACCTGCTCAACGAGTCCCTGCGTGCTGTGCTAAACCGGCGCAGCACGGTGCGGGGACTCACTTCTGTGGTGCCGGAAATCACATCTGCACATGCTCAGACACCATAAATCGTGTCTGCACAGACACAGACACCAGAAATTGTGGCCGTGTGTGCATGAGCACGTGCGCAATCTAGCCCATGGAGTGAACTGGCCCAGGCGAGGTAAACCTTGCCAACCCCGGATCTAGACAGATCAAAAAAGGGATTCAGTTAAATGTGTTGTGAACTTCGTACAGGGAAATCCCACTGGATTTCAGATGGGACTCCACAGTGCCATCTGGTGCCGCAGTGTTATAATGCATATAAAGCACTTTATGAATGTCGATGAGTCCAAAGTTTTATATACTTCCCTCACACCCTTTATTCCTAAGCCTTTGGCTAATTCAACAGTTTATGGCCTTTTAAACTGTTGGGGGGGTATTGTTTTTGTTTGCTATTTTGTAACATATTTTTGTGGTCCTAAGATGAAGGGTGATATAGAAATTTAATTAATAAATACATAAATAAAAATACCTCCTTACTCAAATTTTTGTAGGCTAAAAAGCCCCAAATGTTGTAACCTTTCCTCATATTGCTCCCATGCTTGCCCTCCTCCCATATCTTAATAGATAGGCCACAGGGAGGCGAGGAGAGTTTCCCTCTTCCTCCTGAGTTCAGTTCTCATTCAACCCTGCATGCTGAATAGAACAGTCATTGCTATTCAGCTATAACCATGCTTATTCTCAGAGCCTTTGGTTATACTTTAAGGGTTCCTTCCTTTCCAATAAGAAGCTGCTACGGATAGCGCTTTTGTTCATATCTTTATCTTTTAAACGTTAGTTTTTGTGTTTATGTTTCTGTGTTGTGCACTTTCTTTTAAATTAAGAATGCTTTGAGCAATATTTTGTAAATGATGCCTCAGCATAAGATGAGTATGAGGCTGTCAATAAACAGGTAAAGAGTTAACTGACTTGGAAAGAGAGCGGGCATTGCTTAAAAGTGGAGACTTCCTCCCCCCCACACCCTCATTTAAAATTGTAGAAGTTTGCCTGTCAGCAGAAGTGAAAATGGCATTACAGTTTACAGTGAAGCTGGGAAATATGGAAGAGCTGCCAGCTGTCTTTCTTTAAAGGAATTATCTGCTTTTGATATTAACAAATGCCTCTCGTTCTTCCCTCACCCCTTTACTGCCTGCCTTGCCCCTGGCTGAATAAACCAAGAATGGGAGCAGAACACATAAAAAGGTCCCTGAAAACACCTGCTCTCATTGCAGCTGCAGCCGCGCAAGCAGAGACTGCTGCTCTAGCTTGAGGGGGCTGACATTTTGTGTGGTTGCAGCAGCAAGCTATGAATAAAATCCCATTAATATTCAGTACGTCTTAGTAGCTCTGCCTTCTACCAATGTGTGGGCTTTGTCCTGTGTGAGTGAAAACAGAAACAGATAGCTGCTAGGCTACTAAAAGGCAAGGCCCATTAAAGGCCAAAGTGGGATCTTTCCACCAGCCTGGCATTGTCAGTAAGACAGGAAAGCAGGCTCTATTTCGTTCAGTGGTTGGTAACTTGTTATAGTTATATGAAATCTATTGCCTATTCTGGTATACTGTACCACCTTCTGAGGAACCTTGACGCTTATGTTCCCCAAACTGCCAAAGCAAACAAAACCTTTGTGAAAACAACATTTGAGATAGCCTGCCCCCTCTATAGGTGAATTGTGTGATTTGGGATGGGGGGGGATCAAGTCTGTTCACATCTGAAGGTGAACCAACCTAATTTGCACTTTCTAAAACATTAAGCAAACCAAGGCAAGCACAGCTGTCCTTCAAAATTCACACTTCTTTTTTGAATTTTGCAGTGTAATTCTCCCGCCTTGTCATTTGTACAAAACTAAGCATAGAAGGGTGATATATTCTTTAAAATGCATATATGAATGAAAATTGCTTTAAAAAACTAAAAAATATATATGCATACAGTAATGTGTATTTAGAAGAAATTTGCACTAAAATGTTGACAAACTTTCTTGATAATTTTTTTTAAAAAAATACACTACAAACAGATGTATGTGGAAATGTGGAGAACTGAACTTAAGACTGGGAAAAAGAGGTACCAAAATTGATTGATTTGTCCATTCCTGGGTGTGATGCATTTGAAGTACATTGGACACTTGACAGCACTCTGCAAATTTTTAAGTATTAAGGAGTGCCTCTGTATTGTACTAATAAATATGTTGCACTTGTCTTGCCTCCAGTGGTAAAATAGAGATTCAGTCAAGTGATTGTTGCATTGCTAGTTCGTGAGTCAATCAGTGAAAACAGCTGCTGGCTTAGAGGTCATTCACACATCCATATACACCACACAACACCTCATCTTTCAGTGACTCATGTGGGAATGTGGGAACTTCCTGCACTCAAAGCAGTGAATCTAAAGTGATGACAAGTGACGTGTAAAATGTGTGTGTGACCGCTGTTTCATGCAGGGAGGTCATATAGCATTGAATGTGTACATGTGAACCCACTTTTGCATGTGTGCTTATGAGGTTATTTCTGTTACTGCCATCACTTTTTTAAAAAAAACCTCGTGTGCTTCAGCCCTTTGTGATATAATATCCCATAGTGTTAGCTTTACCTTTTCCTATATACTGTATTTAGTTGTTACTATTGCTGACTTTTTCTTGTTTTTTTCTCCTGACACAATCCTTTCTGTTGGGATCAAGGCCATCCTGCTTCTTAACATAGTGCAGGACTGGTGTCAGCAGTGGGCACCTGCCAAGACCCACACCCCTGCAGGGGCCCCACCGCCAACCCCTGGAGCCCCTGGCCTTACTCTTCTGCCTTGTTGTTGCTTATTCAAATGACTCCTTTAATCAGCAATGGGAGCAACAAAAGCAATAGGAGCAACAAAAGGAGGAGGAGCCTCTATCTGCCTTGCCCTCTTCCCTCTGAACAGTTGTGGGGTTTGAGACCCTTAAACAGAGGTGGAACAGCAGCGAGGAATAAATGGGGTCACTCTGGCAGTGGGACACAAGGAGGTAATTTATTCCAAGGGTATCTTATTTGCTTAGGATAGAGAAAAAGCTAAAAATTATATTAATAGTTCTGCCTACTGCTGGAGTTTAGTCCACAGAAGGGTTGCCGAGATGGGAATGTGGGCTTTGGACTGAAAATATCCCCCACCCCTTTTATCTAGCTTATTTAATTACCTGCGAGCAGATCAGTGTAGAAGAGACAACAGTCCCCTGCCTATTTTAAGGCGTTCATTCCACATGCTGTGTGTAGCTCAGGAAGCATCTGCATCACAGCTTTTTGAAGTCCTACTTTGCACACTTTTGTTTTAAATTGTTAACTACCTTGAGGGCATTGGCAGAAAGGTAGTGTATAAATGTAGGAAATACAAAAATATTGCAAGCTTTAACCCTTTGCTGGCTATCTGACTCTCTGCACTTCTAGTTCTGTGGGCATAAGAAGAAGAGTTTGGATTTGATATCCCGCTTTATCACTATCCGAAGGAGTCTCAAAGCGGCTAACATTCTCCTTTCCCTTCCTCCCCCACAACAAACACTCTGTGAGGTGAGTGGGGCTGAGGGACTTCAGAGAAGTGTGACGAGCCCAAGGTCACCCAGCAGCTGCATGTGGAGGAGCGGAGACGCGAACCCAGTTCACCAGATTACGAGTCTACCACTCTTAACCACTACACCACACTGGCTCTCATAAACTGCATGGCTGAAGGCTAATAAGGAAGGTGGGGTTTGTTGTGCACTCAAGCCCCACAGTAGGTGGCATATAGTCAGACTAACTATAGATGCACCCCATCAAAGGAGTGAAGTGCCACAAGACCAGCTTTATCAGGACATGTTCATAGCTTCCTACCAAAACAAGACTCAGTTGTTCATACAGAGGCCCAAGGGCACTTTTGACTTCCTCTTTTTGGTGCCTGGAGTCAATCTGCAGCAGGAAAGCATTCATAAAGAGACCCAATATGTCTCTAAGATAGATTTGTTATAGTAGTCTGGAAAGGGGCCATGACTATTGAACTTAACTCATCACTCTCTGGCATTGCCTTGTGCTGTGGAGAAGATGGCATTCTCAAGGGATAGCTTGTCCTATTACCACTTGCTATGAAATAACAGCATCCCATATTAATGCTCCAACTATTCCTGATGGCCAATAATTTCATATTTGGATCCTGCCTGTTGAAGATGAACTGAATTACAAAGTAACCCAAACAATGCTATTAGTGAAAACAGAGAAAGCTGTTCACCAATGGCAACACAGTTAATTGAATTTTATTTTGTTTTAATATAGGAAGATGCCCTATGCTGCATCAGGCCATTGGTCTGTCTAGCTTTACATGGACTGGCAATCTACACTTTTAGTCTGTAATTCATTCCACATCTTTCGACAGGGTTTTAATTCAGTATGGTTGTTTAATAATGTATATTCAAATATTAAACTATTTCTCATTTCTGATACACCAACAAAATGTTTGCAAAGTGTAGAATTTGGCCAGTAAGATGCTTCTTTTAAATGGCTGTCTAAGAAGTCTAAAAATAATGACCAGTTTTTCAGGAAGATGTCTTCTGACACCTTAAAGGCTAAAAATGGCATGTGTTTTCACATGTTAAGAGTCTGCTTTTCAGATGCAGCTTTTTCTAAGCCAAATAATTAAAATTCTCCCCATGGGATTTGGAACGTCATAATTGAGGTTTGTTTATTTGTAATCAGAATTCACAATGGAGCTGCATTTTTAGCATGCAAGCTCCTTGGTTTGTCATTCCTAGAATTGTTTTCTCCTTCAACAGCTTCCATGATCAACAATCTGATCCAATCCTGTCACATGCCACACTTTGCAGGAATCAGAACCAATTCAGATTGATTTTCAAATTTTGATAAGCACTTCCATAATCCCCAAATTTTAGTTAAAAAAATATATTGAGTAAACACCTGTGTTCAGAAGGGGAATGAATGAGAGAAGTCTTCTGTATTCTAATTGTAAAACACTACCTAATGTTCAGGATGCGGAAGGTGCTGTGGTCTAAACCACTGAGCCTCTTGGGCTTGCAAATCGGAAGGTTGGTGGTTCAAATCCCCGTGACGGGGTAAGCTCCCGTTGCTTGGTCCCAGCTCCTGCCAACCTAGCAATTCAAAAGCACGCAAATAGATAAATAGGTACCAGTCCAGCGGGAAGGTAAATGGCATTTCCATGAGCTGCTCTGGTTTCAGTGTTCCGTTGCACCAGAAGCAGCTTAATCATGCTGGCCACATGACCCAGAAAAACTTTCTGCAGACAAATGCCGGCTCCTTTGGCCTGTAAAGTGAGATGAGCACCGCAACCCCAGAGTCGTCTGCGACTGGACTTACGGTAACTGTCAGGGGTCCTTTACCTTTACCTAATGTTCAGCTGATCCCAGAAACTTTGATTCTAAATCTTCAACCCTCTGTATGCTTTCTTGGAAGTAGGCTTAACTGAACTCAAGGGTCCTTTCTTCTGAGTAAACATGCACAGATTCAACTTATAAAACACAATGAGTATTCACTTAATAAATCTTCAGCTAACTGAAATGCAAACAGCCTTAAAACAAGTTTTACTTTTTCAGCTGCTATGTAATCTGAAGTTGAACATCCGTAAAAGAAATGAGAGATGTGTTCATTTGATTCTTTTTATCATTCTTTATCATTTCTATTTATTTTTGATATTTAGACCCTTGCAGTTTGAGCGTGTAATTTGAAAAATTAAAAGTGAATGACTGCGGGGGGGAAGAAAAAGTTTCAGATGAAAAGAAGATCATGCTGCACCCTCCATACGCACAGCCTTGTTTTTTAAGCTGGAAGCCCCATTTGTTCCATTCATGAGGATAGCATAGGTTTCCTCTGACCCTACAGGTTTTCGAACTTATAATTGCAAACAGTAGTAAAATGTGAAAGCCTCATTAGCACCTCATTCATTCACCAGGGCAGTGAGGGCCCTTGGCCATAATTACCCTGGTGAGCAGATTTGTTGGAGTCTGTTTGAAAGCATTATCCATGATGATGTGACTCTGTGATGTAAGCATGGCTGGCAGAACTGTGCTCAAGTAGTTATGCTTGCTTCTGGTACTGTGGGTCTGAGAAAGCTGGTGAGTGGCTGCCTGTATATGAAACAAGTGGATGAGATTGAATGGAGGAGCTGTAAGTTCACTGAGCTTTTCTTTTTTCTCCTGCAGTGTGAGTTCATGTAGTGACCAGCTGTGGTTGGCAGTTGTGTTGGCTGATGGAAGCAGCCTCCAAACAAGGCTGATTTAATGGTGCTGGCCAGGGCCAAGCCCGCCCATGAGGTGAGGTGATGCAGCCGCCTTGGGTGGCAAAAGGCCTACCTGTTTGTGGCAAGATCTCACTGAAATTTTGTGATAACTTGCTGGAAACCAGTGCCTCTGCCAGTGCTGCTTTTACACCAGTGCTGGGGTGGGTGGGGCACCCATGGGGCCCCACCTCTTTGACTTTCCAGGTAATTGTTCGCGCACAAGGTATCTTTGGTCTGGTTGGCTTCTGCTCTGTCATGCTGACATAGCAGCTGAGAGCCCCAGCTTAAATGTGAAGTTGAGTGGACGGGTAACAGTGCATGCCACTTTTAAATTGTGCCAAAGTGATGGTTCCCTGGTCACAGGGTTATAGTCCTGGGGCACTTGGATTCACAATTGTTTTTGGTTTGCCATGTCATGTATAGAAAGCATACAAAAAAACAAAACAGCAGTCTCCCATTGGGGTGGATGGGCACATTTTATTCATGGTTCTATTCGTGGTTTTAGCTTGGCGTATGTACTGATTTCAAAGGCCTCATGATCTGTTGCTTGTCTACAAAAAGCTAGGGGGGCCCTGATGCTTAAATAAGGCTCATATAGTCAGTTAAAGTGCAAACTGAAATCAGAACTATTATTTAACCCAAAGCAGAGCTTTGTACTAACAATTAACTGTTGGCAAATTGCAGAAGTGTGTGTGTGTGTGTGTGTGTGTGTGTGTGTGTGTGTGTGTTAGAATATGAACTTCACCAGTTTGGAAATCTCTGAGCCATTTTGAGCTGACCCTTCCACCACTCTGAATTTTAGCTTGATTTCTAAAAGCTTAGCATCAGTCCTTTACCAATGCCAGTTTCCTCTTCTGCTAATTTTTCTCCTTCTTACCCACTGTGCCCTGCCATCCACCTTCCCAAACTTGAGGTTTGACTGCAACAAATGGTTTCCAGACATGTTTGGAGCCTTTATTGCTAATGGGAACAAGCATTCATTGCAAGCAGGAGCAAATTAAAATTTGCTATTCTTCTCTACCATAGGACTCCCTCCTCTGCCCCAGAGTGATAAGTATGGTGAGCGGAAGTAATCTGGTAGTGGGGGGGGGGTTGGCTCTGGCAGAGGAGCTGTTCTGGGTGTTTCACCTAATTTTAGAATAGGTTTTTTGAGGGGAGGAGGAGTACCAAGGGCTACTTTATTGTCTTTATTGCACATTGATGATTTCTGCTCTCGCTATCAGGGTGGTCATACCCAAACTTACTTTCAGTACTATTTACATCTGCAAATGTTTTGGGGTAGTCATTTCTAGTCAGGATATTTATTTACTCTTCTGTAATTTCCTGCTGAAATCCCTTAACTTTTCATACTACAAATGTTCTGGTTGTTTGGGGTTTTTTTTTATTTTGGGGGTTGCATGTTGGTTTTGCGATCAGTGAAATTCACTTTCAACAAGCTTGGAGGGACCCCAAGTTTTCTCCAAGAATGCTTGGACAGACTGAAACTATGAATCAGGCTGAGTGGATCTTGCCCATCACCAGAGAGCGCACCAAACTTTGTCAGACTTCACTTTACATTTGTGTATCGTTTCAAGATGTGCTGATACACTTTCTGCAACTTTACTGTAAGGAACTGGTCCCTTTTTGCCAGAGGTCTGCCACCAGGTACCTTTCACTTGTTACTAAGGCTTAAAGCCCTACTTAGAACACTGCCTTGCAGTTCACTTTGTTTCCAGCTACACCTGGAGCTATTTTATAATTGCTTGATTCTTTCCCCCATAGCTACCTTCCTCGGCAGCCCTCACCAAAAATATATTTATGCAGTTGCCTAAAGTGACATGCACTCTGTTAAGATTCTGATAAGGTGGCAAAAGCAATAGTTGTAACTGTCCATAGTAGTCTACCAACCTCCAGTCATCACACTGCTTCCTTGGCTATCCAGTAGTGGCAGATGCGGGTGCAAAGCAAAGCCCTACATCATGTTACTGCAGGGAGGGATGGAGCTCACCACGAGCATGTTTTCAGCTGCATCTTCATGGCAAGAGTAACATCTACACTGATGGAGATGGGTAGGAAGTTTCTAGAATTCAAAGAAGAGGGAGCAGCAAGCTTGACCATCCTTGCTGTTGCTTCTGTTGCCATGGTGATGAGTCCCAAGTACCATAGGATCTGAATTCTAGCCTGATGAACATTCTGCTCTCCATATGGATGAAGGCTTATGGCTGGCATCTCCCCTCCCTTTAAAATCCAGCAGCTGCTTCTCTTTAATACAGCTCTTTCTGTTTTGTATGGGAGTCTTAGATACAAGTCTGTGACCAGCTCTTTGTCTAAGATCCCTGTGAGGTGGGGTCCAAGTCAACAGTCAGGCTATAGAAGCATGAGCATGAGAGTTTACTTGGAGACGTGATATGTATGCGTGTAAGATGAACACGCACTCAGAGCAAATGTGGCATTATTCACCATGTCATTTCAGGGCACCCGCAGAGACTGCAAACAATAGTCAAGTGTCTTCCTTGTAATACAGAACACTGGATTGATTTCAGCACCACACTCAGAAGCACTGTATTCTCTCTCTCTCTCTCCCAACTGAGATAATTAATGAATTAAAAGATTTATCAATAGATTAATCAACTAAATTTTAGCTGATTAAATAGTAGGGGCTAATTTTAATCTGTGGGCTAATTGTGTGTGCTTAGGATTTTAGTGTTCTGGTGTGTTACTGAAATAAGGAATGGAAAATATGCTAGTCATTTATTTTTTAGTATCCTGCCCAAGGCCACCTGATGAGAATAGGAAAACTGATTTTAATTAAGCACAAAGTAATGCCAAAAGTGCTTTGAGCAAGAGCTCTCATGAAGTTCTGTGGCTGGCATATTCACTGAAAAATCTGGAGATTTACAGTAGTACCTCATGTTACGGATGGGATCCGTTCTGGAGGCCTGTCCGTAATGTGAAAAGCCTGCAACTAGAAGCGCCGTGTCTGTGCAAGCACGCGACACAATTTGGTGCTTCTGCGCATGTGCGAGTGGCGAAACTCGGAAGTAACCCATTCCGGTACTTCTGGGTTGTCGCAGGACGCAAGACGAAAACATGCAACCTGAAGCGGACGCAACATGAGGTATGACTGTATATCAAATGTAAAACACGCTTTTCACCTTTTATTACAAACAACTCTTTCCATTATTTTCAGTGTGTCATAAAAGAAACACCTACTACCAAATTATATCACTTAGAATATTAGAACTCAGCATATGCTAGCAAAACAGTCCTGTCTCAGAAAACTGCTTGGAAGATATGGTTTATTATTAGGTAGTGATTCAGTGCATCACTGCGATTCCAGTACATAGTGGTCTACTTCATAAATAAATCTAATGCATGGTTTAGCATTACAAGAATGGGCTGCTGCACCCACACAGAAGAAATTGGAAACTTTTGCAGTTTAGCCAAATTACTAACTGTAGTAATCTTAAGTATGGTTATGGAAGCAAGCAAGCCTTGTAAACTGGTTTGAAGTTGGTTTGTTTCCACTAACCATAGTTAAGACTTATGAACTTTGGCCAGGTTCAGAGTTAAAACAAGCTGCTGTTAGTCTTTGATGGAAACTTAAGTGGCTGTTCCTCCTAAAGCCAAGCCATGGTTCTGCTGTATGTGTCAACACAGTCAGTGAGAAAATACATATTAAATAGTTTTGGAGCATATGTAGTGATCAGGTATGTAGACTTCAGCTTACTTTTTGTTAAGGTTTCCTAAATGTTGGATGCACTCTAAAGTTTTTATTAGTGGGTAAGTAGCTTTTACTTCTGGCCCTGTTTTACTGCCATAGTAAACAAGTAAAGGATAATGTTATAAATCATGAATTGTATTCAAACCACACATAAATGTTACGTTCTTACAAAGTACATTGCAGTGTTAAACATGGTCATTGGCATTGTGTTTAATCACAATTAATTAGAGCAGTTAAAATCAACCAAGCAAAAGACTAACTGAGGAATTTACAGAAGCCATATAGCAGGATCAGTGTTGTAAGGAACTATAGGCAAGAGAGATTAAGTCCTATTGCAGGCTGTTGGGAAGAGAAATGTCTGATCTCATTAATACAAAGCATAAGTTTTACCTTTTCTTTAAGATTAACTGCATTGCTCACAAATACTATATAGTAGTTGGACTGCTTTGAGTTTTCCATTCATACAGGGAACCTGCCCCTCTCTAGTGGAACTTAAACTGATCACATTGAATTATGGGTGAGTAATAAAACTATATAGTGACTAAAAGAAGGATTTAAAAATACTGCAGGAAAGATGAAAGTGATAAATAGAATATAACAAAATAAGAGTAATTTAGCTAAATGGTGAAATTAAATGTGTCTCCCTGTGAATCTGCATGACTTTATACTTGATAAATTCTTGTAAGTATGGAAATGGAATTGTTTTCAAATAAAATTATATAGATAGCCATACATGAATTAATGATACATAAATAATCCTTCAAATTGCTCACAATATGGATATAAATATATTTTATTTAAAATTGTTTTGTGATCCTTTAAAAACAATGTTCAGGTTTGCAGATATAACAGTTACTATTACAAACACTGATAATTTAAGAATAGGTTCGACCATGTGATGGGGTCTAAAAACATGTATTATTTATTCTGAACTTGGTTTTGTTTGTAAAAAGTCATGCTAACATTCTCCTGAGTTCTCAGTCCACATGTGTCAAAATTATACTCAAAGTTTTGAACAGATTATTCCTAAGGTGATTAGTATTCTTTAAAACATCATCAACAATAAGAGACTTATGGCACTGTAGTTTGCCTGCATCATTAAAAGAACGACAGCTGAAACAGTGCAAGGAAGATATGTGAAAGGGAAAACGTTAGCATTTCTAACATGGATGCAGTTCTTTTTTTAAAACTGCCATCTGGTGGTATTTGTTGATAGTTGCAGCAACCTGAATGTGTGCAGTGTTATGGGAACAGTTTGTCGATGAATAGTCAAGTTCCTGCTTCATTAATACCTGAATGGGTGCTTTGGATTGGAAATTTAGATGTGGGGGAAGGCTACTGTGGACTTTTTGTGAACATAAAACACTGTGGCCTCTTGCCTCAGTAATCCCTTAATGAGAAAAAATATACTATCTGTCTATAATCTCTGAGAATTCTTGGAGAACAGGTGAGTTCCCTGCAGACTGGAGGCTGGCAAGTGTTGTCCTCATCTACAAAAAGGGGGAGGGGGAGAAGACCCAGATAACTACTGACCAGTGAGCTTGACACTGAAATGTCCTAGAGCAGGTAATTCAACAGTCGGTCTGTGAGCACTGAAAAAAAGGATGCTGTGATTACTAAGAACCAGCATGGGTTTTTAAAAAATATGTCAGATGAATCTCATTTCTTTTTTTGATTGAATTACAAACTTGGTGGGTCAGGGGAATGCTATGAACATTGTGTATCTTGACTTCAGTAAGGCTTTTGACAAAGTTCCCCATGATATTCTTACAAGGAAGCTAGTAAAATGTGGGTTGAATGAGGTAACTGTTAAACTGTTAGGTGGATTTGTAGCTGATTGACTGACCAAACCCAAAGAGTACTCTTTAATGGTTCCTCATCATCCTGGAAAAAAGTGGGGTGTCGCAGGGTTCTGTCCTTAGCTCATTGTAGTTCAATGTCTTTATAAACAACTTGGAAGAAGGAATTGAGGGGATGACACCAAACTGGGAGGGGTAGCTAATGCCACAGAAGACAGAACCAGAATTCAAAATCACCATAACCTATTAGAGAACCGGACACAAGCTAACAAAATGAATTTCAATAGGGACAAAAGTAAGGTTCTGCATTTAGGCAGGAAGAACCAGATGTACAAATATAGCATGGGGGACACCTGGCTCACTAGCAGTACATGTGAAAAGGCTCTAGGGGTCAAGCTTAACATGAGTCAACTGTGTGATGCAGCAGCAAAAAAGCTAATGCTATTCTAGGTAGCATCAACAGAAGTATAGTGTCCAGATCAAGGGAAGTAATAGTACCACTCTGTTCTGCTTTGATCAGACCACGTCTGGAATACTGTGTCAATACTGTGACCACAATTTAAGAAGGATGTTGACAAGCTGGATCATGTGCAGAGGAGGGCAACCAAGATGATTAAGGGTCTGGAAACTAAGCCGTGTGAGGAGCATTTGAGGGAACAGGGTATGTTTAGCCTGGAGAAGAGGAGATATGACAGCCAAAGGGCTGCCATATGGAAGATGAAGAAAGTTTTCTCCTGCTCTTGAGGGTAAGTTACAGGAAAGGAGATTCCAGCTAAACATCAGGAGGAACTTTCTGACAGTAAGTGCTGTTCGACAGTGGAACGTATTCTCTTGAGAGGTTGTGGACTCTCCTTCTTTGGAGGTTTCTAAGCAGAGGTTGGATGGGCATCTGTCATGGATGTTTTAGTTGAGATTGCAACTCTGTCATTCCAACTCTGAGATTCAATTATCTGTCATTCTTTGTGGGTATTTGTCTTTCCCCTGCCCACCCTGGACTTCTTTGACCCTGTGCATTTCCTTTGGTTTTCAAATCTGTGCAGTTAATGCAGCAACTCCTAGTCTTCAGCTATACATTTTTGTTTCTTGTATTTTTCTATTATGTACCTCAGAAGACAAGCATCTGAATAGTTAACGCTGACAACAGATTGTGATTATCACCATAAACATTATGAAGGTGATATTCCAATATGATTCTGTATTTTATTTTCAGCGTCTCAGCAGAGCCATGCTGCTATACCTGATTCCCTTCCCATTCAATACCAAAGAGTGACCTCTGCAGTCCAGTTTTTATTCTTTTAACTCTGCACAGTTCCCTTGGTAGTTTATTGAGATTCTGGATTTAGTTGTTAATTTTGTTTGCTGTATCTCAAACTTGTGAATCTTTCTGGCTTAGGTTGTTCTGCACAGGGGTTCTGACAGGGAGGTACAATGCAGAACCATGGACAGCTCCCAGTGACCAACCTGCTCTAACAGAGGCTGCAGGTGGACTGAAACCTATTGTCTCCAGCCCACTCCTCCCAAACTCTGCCTTAGGGCTGGGTGATATATCGTCCAAAACCTGTTTGAAGTCCATATCATGATATTGGTATCATAAGTTTTGACCTGGCAATGTATTGTGAATATTGTGTGTGCGTGTGCTATGCAAAAATCACAATGTGGGAAAAACTGTGAAGCCAGCCCAATGCTTCTCTCAATTCCTGCAGCCCCTGTTAACTCTGCTGGCTCAGTTCTGCCCTGCCTCAAACAGGGGGCAGTGAATCATAAGAGCAGATGTGGCAAAAATCAGGATGCAGGAAAAACCATGAAGCCAGTTAATGCCTCTATGTAGCTCCATTCTCATTTCAGTCACCGTGGGATATCAGCATATTGTGATGTTTAGCTGGTGATATATCACAATATTGAAAATCAGTTATTGCTCATCCCTACTCTGCCTGCTTGCTCAAAGAATGAAGAGTATTAAATGACCAGATGCCTGGCCTGGATATGGCTGGCATGCTTCCTGCGCAAGTTGGGCAAGCATAGTAGTGTGCTTAATGTTTTTAATGTCTTCATTTACTCAAATCTGATAGGTTGTTAAATCTGGGGTTTAATAATAATAATAATAATAATAATAATAATAATAATAGTAATACTAGAGGCCTGCAACCAAAGATTTGTCTGGTTGCTTCAAATCAGCATGTGAATGTCAGTCTTCCTTTCCCTCAGAGACTCTTCCTTCTAGCCTTCTCCTGCTCCCTTTATTTGCATGGAGCACTTCTTTCTTTATCAGATCCTTGTCCACAATTTACCTTTAACACTCTTTGTTCCAATACCCTCATCATCCTTTAAAAAAAAAAAAAAGCACCAGTGAAGGTTTGCTGCTGTTGACTCTACTACAACTACATTCCATACAGCAACCACACATTCCATTAGCATGCTCTCTGAAGAAAGTACAGCATTCTGCTAGGTACAAAAGTGTACATGTTGAGTGCTTGGAAAATGTTCTCCACAAAAAAATAGTGCTGTCATAAAGGAGTCTGTTTACAGCTTGTTCTGCAGGGAATGGGGAACTGCCGGCCCATGATGCCCCTCCCATATGGCCTTCTGCTTCTACCATCATGCCCCTTCCTGCACAGCTTCCATTTTGTGCCAATGGAAGCCTTTTAAATGCCTGGTTACTGTGCGATAGAGTGATGGGGAGGGGCATTGAAGCTGAAGAGGGAAAGGTTAACCCCATACCCTCCAACATTTCTCTGATGAAAATAGGGGCATCCTAAGCAAAACCAGGACATTCCGGGATCAAATCAGAAACCAGGATGGCTTCTTTAAATCCAGAACTGTCCCTGGGAAATAGGGACACTTGGAGGGTCTGCCATACCCTATGACATTCACCAATGAAAACAGGGATATCCTAAGGGAAAGCAGGACATTCTGGGATTAAATCAGAAATCAGGATGGCTTCTGTAAATCCAGGACTGTCCCTGGGAAATAGGAACACGTGGAGGGTCTGTAACCCTCCAACCTCCCCAATCACAGCCCCTGTGCAGCAGTTAACCTGCAAATGCAGGTTGCATCGGTGTCAGGCTAATTGCTTTGCAGATAGGAGAAGGAGGGAAGAAAGAGAGAATTTGGGGCAGTGGTGTGGGGAGAGAAGGTGAGAAACAAAAGGGGAAAGGGAGAGAGAGAAAAAGAAGGAGGAAGAGGGAATCAAATTGATGGATGTGTGTTTGTGGTTGCAGGCCTAAGTCTTTCTCACTCCTGTTACTTAAGAACCTTTTGACGGGTTGCTGGGAATGGAACCTGGTGCTTTCTGCCATGCTCCATCACTGAGCTATTGCCTCCTCACATGACAACTGTAGAAAAAATGGGTATCGAGGCCAACACTTGAAATAATTGAAAATGCTTCAGGGCCCTGGCCATTGTGTGTGACTTGGCAGGCCAATAAAAAGTATCGTTTTCTGCTGAGTTGAGAATTTGTCTGTTTGACTTCAGTTGAACTGTGTGAGCAAGGTCAAAGGCCATTAAATAGATCCCATTTAATTTCCGCCCCTCAACCCCTGTGATAGCTCTGACAGATTATTATTTTTCAGCAACGTAGGAGATCAAACAAAGGCATTCAATAAAAAAAGGAGTGGGGCAACTCTCATTAGTATCAGCTTGGAAGTCAGTTAGGCCTTGTCTTAATTGGCAGAAGCTGCAGGACAACTTCCCTTTCAACAGTGCATTGAATGCAAGCCGCGACTATCTGCCCAGTGTTTGAGGCTCCTGCTGATATGCTAAATAAGTACAGCTGTATGGGGGAAGTGGTTCTATTTCAGAAGTGTATCATCTCTGCTTTGCATAATTTTGCACAGTGATTTTGTATAATTTTAAAAGCACAAAAACATTTTGGACAGCACCTGTGGGAGAATAAAAGCGGCCACACAGGCTGCTGCTGCTGCCATACACACTACTTATGAATTCCCTTTCTGAAGCAAGCCTTTTAATAAGGCTTCCCCTATGGCTTTCAGAGGACCATTACCTAGGAAGCCAAGTTGTAAATATAATCCTGTCTGAACCTGTGACAGAGGTGTTCAAAGCAATTTGATCTCTCTGATGTTTTGTAAATGTTGGAGATACTTTTTGCTTAATAACTTTCAGTGCACGTGTAACTACTGATAATATTTGCATATAATATCAGAACTTCCCTCCTTTCAGATTAAAAGCCTTGAATTTATCTACCTTTGAAGCAAGCCAACTTGAAAACTCCACTGCACGTTACCAGGAAAGCATGGCGGCCACAAGGAACCTGTTCTGCAGTTGTCATGTTTATGTGGGCACAACTTACACTGGTAGATGGGAGGGGTGCTTAACCCTTTCCCCACTGCCACTTTCTCCTTGTACATGCTTTCCTGCTGGACAGTTTTAAATAGCTCCCCCCTCCCAAGTAGGCACTGAAGTCTGAAATGAGTTCATAGAATCATAGAATTGTAGAGTTGGAAGGGACCATGAGGACTATCTAGTCCAACCCACCGCAATGCAGGAATCTTTTCCCCCAATGCGAGGCTCAAACCCATGACCCTGAGATTAAGAGTTATGCTTCGCCAACTGAACTATCCATCATGCTACCCTTAACTTTCCTCTAATCTGTCCCTGCATTTCCATTATTTCTGGAAACACAGAGTTGGAGCCACATACTTTATTGATGATATAGCATTTAGTTTCAGGCACATTATTCTTAAAATATTATTGCATTCATTTTATAGAGGTGCTTTCTCGATTCCGTTGTAGTTTCAGGTCAAATGTTATGTGTTAAGGGGACAGTAGTTTCCCCTCTTAATATAGCCAACTTGCTTCCCGTTACTTTACTTTCCTACTCCCTTGACCTGGAGCGTTTAACCTGTGATTAGATGCCTGCTGGCACTATTGCTTCCTGATCAAATAAAGGCATCAGCTATTTGTTTGCAGATGTGGCCTATTGCCAGCATTCTTGTGCTGTGCTGCAGACCAAGGGAAAAGGGTGTTCCCAGTAATACTGACAACCAATATCTATGGAACTAATGAAAGAAAAGGAATACAGCTGCGAAAAATTGGAAGGCGTAGCAGAGGCCTTTCTTTCCACAGTTGCCAAATGCCATTCTCTCTCTCTCTCTCTCTCTGGCTTTTTAATGTTTTACGCATAGGTTGTATCACGTTCGAGCAACTGGAAACGCTTTCCCCATTATATTCTATCAAGTGATTTCCTTTTAAAGCTGCTTGTGAAGAGTAGGAGGTGAACAAAGGAGGAGGGAATCAAGGAATTATATAGTCATAGTTTTCTGACACAGTCTTGGAAAGTATGGCCCTCATTTTCAGCAAAAATAAGTGAATTCATTTTTGTAGGTATAACCTGTTGATTCTTACCACCAGCAATATTTAAAGCTGCGTATCTTATTATTTTAGACATTGCAGTTAATTCTGCATCATACTTGAGAACCTGCCACGAGAGGGCAGAAGCTGAATGGGCTTTGTAGTTCAGCTAATGCATAATGCTACTTTATGTGAAGGCTGGCACCAAATGATTCAGTGGAGCACCCTAGAAAATGAAGCACAACTTCAACAGATTTTGTATGGGGATGCTTTGTAAATCTGGGGACTGTCCCCGGGAAACAGGGACGTCTGGTAACCAAACTCTGGTGAGCATTCCACAACTAGGGAGCCACTGCAAAAAAGGGCCTGTTGTCATGTTGTCACCCTCTGGACCTCTCGTGGAGGAGGCACACAAAGAAAGGCCTCAGAAGATTATTGTGGGGTCCAGGTTGGTTCATATGGGGAGAGGTGGTCCTAGGGGTATCACGGTCCTAAACCATTTAGGGCTTTATAAGTCAAAATCAGCACTTTGAAGCTGGCCCAGGAACTAATTGGATGCCACTGCAGTTGGAGCAGGATCTATGCAATATGCTTAAACCGTCCTGCCCTAGTGAGCAACCTGGCCACCAAATTCTGCACCAGCTAACATTTACAAACTGTCTTCAGAGGCAGCCTCATGTATAACGTGTTGCAGTAATCTAACCTAGAGGTTACCAGAGAATAGACAACAGAAGTTAGGCTATCCCTGTCCAGATAGGGGCTTAGCTGGGTCACCAGCCAAAGCTGATGGAAGGCACTCTGTGCCACTGAAGCCACCTGTGCCTCAAGCGACAGTAAAGGATCCAGAAGTGTCCCCCAAGCTACATACCTGCTCCTTCAGAGGGAGTGTAACCCCACCAAGAGCAGGCCACCTCTGGTCCATCTGGTTTGGGGAAGCACACAGACACACAGTGCCATAGTTTTATCTGGATTTAGAGATAGCTTAAACGACTTGCTCTTGCTGTTATATGCCCTTTTAAAATCAGAGCTAGTATGGGAGAGTAGTAGAGTGAGGCCACTCAGGTTCACATCCCTGCTTGTCCAAGGTCAGATACTGAGTTTTGCTGAATGGCCACCTCTCAGCCTAACCTACTGCAGTGTGCTGCTGAATCACTCGCACTACTGAAATGACGCAGTGTGTGTGTGGTGAATATATTATCTGTCTGGTTTTGCCCCTGAAATGCAGCATGAAGCGATTTGATAAGGTACCTTGTGATAAATCAGAGAAAGAAAGTTGAGATCCTGTTCATGCCCCAAAAGTCTCTTTAGTAGGGATGGGGGAGAAATTTGGTTCTGTTAGAATCTGAAGGTAAATTTACCTAATTCACACTTCCTGAAACAATATGCAAACCAAAACACAGTCATCCATTGAAATGTACAACTCTGAGAATTTGGAAATGCAGTTCTCCAACCAAGGGGTTGCCAGCAAGTCAGATCCTTATGTTACCATTTCACTTATCAGAGCTCTTATATGTTCTTCATAATTATAGTATCTATTAAAAGGTAAACACTGAATGAAGATGCCAAAATCACTAGTGTCACTGCAAATCTATAAAATACTCCTGAATAGAATATTTTACACTGGAATGAGGTTTTAGATATGTAACACTGTAGTCCTATTTAGACTCAACTGAGAATGTGCCATTGAAGACTTACTTTGAAATAAGCATGTATATGGCAGGATTGCACTGTTAGATGTGATCCAAGATATATATTTTTAATGTATTTAAATTTCATTGATTTTAGAGTCCTTACTTCCAAGCAATGTGCTTGGGTAGTGGGAGGTGGATCACCTGACGTTGATTTCATATCAGAGGAGTTTGCAACAATATAAAGTGATCAACTGTTATACGTTCTGCACAAGGCAGGGTAAATAAAACAAGAGAATGACATTGAAATAAAAATTAAAAATCACAAGTTAAAATGGCTCCCGATTATGTTTTTCGAAACTTATTGTTACATAAACAGTGACATACACTGTAATACCTGCTTTTCATACCAAAATAAAACATCTCGAAACTCAGTTTTTGAAGTCTATGAATGAACCAACTAATTACTTCCGTGCCCAATTACATGCATGTTATGATTCATTTTTATTTACTGCAAATTGCCCTTGACTCACCCCATCAAGGAGATTTTAGAATTTAAACCTACATTGTCATGGCAAGACGCCTTGTCCAAAGTAGAAATAAATTGGCAAACGTGTACTGTCCTGACACATGTCCTTATCAACCTGCAGGATCAGAGAGTGAGCAGAAATGCTTGCAGCCCTGTGCTTTATATTATAAGCCATTAACTTTGTGTGTTGCAGAAGAAATGCTGATTAAAATGTAGCGAAGAAGATGAGCCTTGTTAGCAGAGCAAATGCAGTGAATATGACAAATGGATGCCAAAAGAAGTGCATTGAAATGAGGCTGAGCCAGATTTATTGGGTGGCTGCCCCACGGCAATCAGCCGCTCCGTCTTAGTTTAACACTAGGGTAGTCATCATAACCTCTTTTTGATTTATGGCCATCTTGCACATCCTGATTGAGATGCTGGACTGTTGTTAGCCCACGGCTGCCCCTTTCTGCAGCCAGCATGACACTGCCCCAGGCCAGTGAAGCTTTGCTCATCTGCTTGTTGCTCTTATCCCACACTCCCCGGTCTGAGATCATTTGTTCATTATGTTGCTGAGTCCTCAGCTCTGGCCTTCCCTTTGTCAGGTGCAAGGAATGTGCACAAAACCTCAAGCTGCAAGTATACAAGGCTTCATTAAAATTCCTTTCAGCCCACCGAAACACCATTAAAGCATATGCCCACTGCATAAAATTTCATTTGAAACACATGGTCTCTGCCTGAATAAGTGGAAAGTCTTTATTGGTACTTGTGAAGTCATTACCAGTGATGCCGTTGTTTAACAGGAAGGTGATAGATGCCTCCCTCCAGCACATGCTGAGTGCAGTCCTGAGAAAATATGCTGGCTGTTCTGCACTATGCTGATTCCACTAGTCCTTCAGGAGCAGCGGATTACCATGATCCCCGTTTGGATTGCAGTAATCAGTGCTCCTGTCCAGAGAGCTGGATTGCAAAACATGGCACCTGGATATGCCACAGATGTATACCCTTCATGTTTCATTTGGGTGGAAGAGAGATTTATTTCTATGCTACCTTTCTGAACTTCTAATCATAAGCAAACAAGACAAGTCGGACCGGCAACAAAACGTCGCAGTATGGAACACTCCCAGCCATCAAGCTATGCTGCCTTCCAGGATACTCTATTCCATGCATCCCCAAACTTGGCCCTCCAGCTGTTTTGGAACTACAATTCTCATCATCCCTGATCACTGGTCCTGTTAGCTAGGAATGATGGGAGTTGTAGTCCCAAAACAGCTGGAGGGCCAAGTTTGGGGATGCCTGCTCTATTCCATTCCCACTTAGCATACTGAATGCTCACTGGGCTGTTTCTCTCTCCCCCACACCATTTTTAGGAGGGTCCGCCCCCCAAAGCTTTTTTCGTACACTTGCAAACCTTACCCACCCCCTCAAGATGTCCTATACTGTACTTCCCTCTTGTGAGATGATGGTGACATTTTGGCTACATGAGGACCAGCAATTGGAGAATTGAGTTCACCATTAGTATATAATACTCTCATTGGCAATTCCTCTCTTTCGGTCCTCTCCAATGATGTGTATCAATGGAGAGATATCTTTCCAGACCATACTGAGCTGGACTTTTTTTGTTGATTGCTCTGTGCTTCCTTGTTTTTTCTCTTTTCACTTGGATACAATTAAATGCTCCCTCTAGAGGGTATAAAGAGAAACTGTTACAGTGAAAAAGAAACAGTGGGATTTTCCACTTGCAAGTTTTTCCTGTGAGAACGACCTTGAGGATATGAGTGGCCCAGCAGAAGAGATAACAACTAGATCCAAAGCAAAACAGACACAAAAGAAAAGGGGCTCAATACCCGGCATACCACCAGCTGCACAGGAAAAAGTGGCAACAGCATCTATGGATTCAATGACACAGGCACTGCTCAAAATAAACCAATCTTTAGAAGCACTGACAAAGCTATCTACGGAAAATTCAAAAAAATTGACAGAACTGACAGCAAGATTGGACTTGAATACTGCAAGTGTAACATCTAATACAGAATCTATTAATAAACTAATTCAAGAAAGTTCTGAAACACGAAAGATTGCTGAAAGTGCAAAAATACTGCGGAGGAGACAAGGCAGGAGCTTGTGCCGATTACAAAAAAAGTGAATGAACATGATGCAGCTCTATCTTTGTTGGAACTACAGAGAAAAGAGAGAAATTTGAAACTGAGATTGGTTCCCGAGAGTGAGGGAGACAGCCTTGTGGATTTTCTTACACAGAACTTTATGGAATTCTGGCAAGAGGAGCTGCAGGAAGAAGAACTTGAAATAACAACAGCTTTCCGGCTCGGCAGGAGGCAGGGTAAGAAGCCAAGGGATTGTTTGATCACATTGAGATCCAAAGGAGAAAGAGATAAGATATTGAATTTGCATTATCAAAAGGCATTAGAGATTGAAAATAGTCAAGTACAAATTTTTAAAGATATCCCTAAATATATTTTGGAGGTGAGAGCCTTCTATAAAGATTTGGTCTACCTGCTGAAGAAAAATATCATACCCTTCAGGTGGGAGTTTCCACAAGGATTGTCTTTTACTTTCAAAGGAAGGAAGGTTAAAATAAGAACAGTTCAAGATAAAGAACAGTTTCTGGAGAGATATCAGGAGGACTTGCAGAAAGGAACAGTAGAAACAACAATACAAGAAAAAGGAGTGACAGACATTGCAAACTTGTCATTTGGACTCATACCATCATCTGAAGAGGAACAAAAGCTAGGAGCAGTCGGAGGAACAGGTACTTAATAACAAAATGTCTCTGCAACTTCTTAGCTGGAACTGTAATGGTTTGAACCTTCCCCGAAAAAGACGCCAAGTTTTTCATACTTTGAAAAGAGAACAATTAGATCTAATATGCCTACAAGAGACTCATGTGACCAGGACACATCGGAAATTATTGGCAAATAAGAGACTTGGACAAGAATTTATTTCATCAGATAAAGTTAAGAAAAGAGGCGTGGTGATCTATGCAAAAGAAAAATTGGCTCCAAAGATGATATTCAAAGATGAACAAGGAAGATACCTGGCAATTGAAATACAAGTTCAAGGAGAAAAATTTTGATAGTTGGAATCTATGCACCAAATGATGGGAAGGCGGAATTCTTTAAGAAGTTGCATGAGACTTTAATGGACTATTTAGACTACAGAATTATAATGATGGGAGACATGAATGGTGTAGTTTCCACAAATATGGACAAAGCACAGAGACAAGTAATTTCCAAGGAAGGGAGACTACCAAAGACTTTTTTTGAAATGACTGAAACTATGGACTTGATTGACATTTGGAGAACAAGGAACCCTCTTGAGAGAGAGGGAACTTTTTCTCTGAAGCAAAAATGACATGGACAAGAATTGACCAAATTTGGGTAACTAGCAGTATGGCGCCAAGGATTAAAAAGGTAGAAATCTGCTCAAAGACTTGCTCCGACCATAATGCTGTAAAGATGGAGATGAAACTTACAACAACTGGATCCTTCAGATGGAGAATGAATGACACCCTATTCAGAGATGAAGAGATTTATAAGAAGGCCCAAAAAACAGTGAAAGATTATTTTGAGATAAATTTGAGAACAGAAGTGGAAAAAAGAATAATTTGGGACGCAAGTAAGGCCGTGATGCGAGGTTTCCTAATACAACAGAACTCCATAAAAAGGAAAAATCAAAATGAAAGGAAAGAAAAAATTTTGGAAAAAATAAAAGAAGGTGAAAAGAAATTGAGGTCTAAACCAAAGTCTCATGAGATTCTGAAAGAAATAAAGTACTATCAGGTGCAATATATGGAATTGATGAATCAAGAGATAGAATGGAAAATAAAGCAAATGAGACAAAAGACATTTGAATCAGCAGATAAATGTGGGAAATTTCTGTCATGGCAATTGAAAAAGAGGCAAAAATTGAACACTGTGACAAGTTTAGAAGTGGACGGAAAGATTATCCACAAACCAAATGAGATAAGTAATTGTTTTCAAGGTTATTTCAGGAAATTATATGCACAAGGGCCAGTTAATGAACAGGAAATAGAAGAATTTGTTAAGAAACATGGATTACCAAAAATTTCAGAGCAAAGCAGAAGGATTTTGAATGATAAAATAACAGGACAAGAAATAGAGGGTGCCATTCAGAAGATGCAATTGGGAAAAGCTCCAGGACCAGATGGTTTGACCGCCAGATACTATAAAGTGTTGAGGGAATGGTTAGTACAACCACTGAAGGAAGTATGTAACGAAATTTTGGAGGGAAAAAGGCACCAGAGTCGTGGAAAGAAGCTTTTATCTCACTTATACCGAAAACTGAGACTGAAAAGAACCAGGTTAAAAACTACCGCCCTATATCATTACTTAATGTGGATTACAAAATTTTTGCGGACATTATGGCAAAAAGACTGAAGAGAGTGTTGGTAGGGGAGATTCATAAAGACCAAACTGGCTTTCTTCCAGGGAGATATATGTCGGACAATGTGAGGAACATTATAGACATTTTGGAACTGTTAGAAGTGGACATTAATAGGAAGGCTGTTTTAATTTTTGTGGACGCGGAGAAAGCCTTTGACAATATTGGATGGAGTTTTATGAAGAAGAATCTCCAAGGGATGGGGGTAGGTCAAGGGTTTGAAAATGGTATAGGTGCAATATACTCTAAACAAAAAGCAAAGTTAATTGTAAACAATGTGGTAACGGAAGAAATACCTATAGAAAAAGGTACACGACAGGGGTGCCCAATATCCCCTCTATTGTTTATATTAGTCCTGGAGGTTTTGTTAAATATGATTAGAGGAGACCAGTTGGTTAAAGGAGTACAAGTCGGAGCCAAACAGTACAAGTTAAGGGCATTTGCAGATGACCTAGTATTGACCTTGCAACAGCCAGATACTAGTACTAAAAGAGTATTAGAACTAATTGAGATATTTGGTCAAGTAGCAGGATTTAAACTGAACAAACAGAAAACGAAAGTGTTGGATAAAAATTTAACATTGGCCGAAAAGAGAAGTTTCAGAATGAAACAGGACTAGTGATAACGAAAAAGTAAAGTACCTGGGGGTAAACTTAACATCTAAGAATGTGAATTTATTTAAGGACAATTATGATAAATGTTGGACAGAGGTAAAGAAGGATCTAGAAATATGGTCAAGGTTGAAACTTTCTTTGTTAGGCCGAATTGCTGTTATCAAGATGAATGTATTGCCTAGAATGTTGTTTTTATTTCAGACATTGCAGATTTTGGACAAGATGGACTGTTTCAAGAAGTGGCAGAAAGATATATCTAAATTTGTCTGGCAGGGCAAAAAGCCCAGAATAAAATTTAAGAATCTAACTGATGCTAAAGATAGAGGGGGGTTTGCCCTGCCGGACTTAAGACTCTACTATGAATCGGCGGCTTTCTGCTGGTTGAAACAGTGGCTACTTCTTGAGAATACAGATATCTTGGATCTAGAAGGGTTTGATAATAGATTTGGTTGGCATGCATATATATGGTATGATAAGGTAAAACAGCATAAAGGTTTCAAAAACCATATTGTTAGGAAAGCATTATACAATGTTTGGATGCGGTATAAAGATCTATTGGAAAGTAAAACTCCCAGGTGGTTGTCACCAATGGAAGCTAAAGAGGTGAAAAAACTTAATATGGAGTCTAAATGGCCAAAATATTGTGAAATTTTAGAACAAGATGGGGAAAAAGTTAAATTACAGAGCTATGAGAAATTAAAGTCCAAAGTGCGAGATTGGTTGCACTACCTTCAGATAAACGAGACATTTAAACAGGACAGGAAAATAGGTTTCCAGATGGAGAGGTCAAAATTGGAAACAGAACTGTTAGAACCCAATACTAAGAATCTGTCGAGAATGTATAATCTGCTGTTGAAATGGAATACACAGGATGAAACGGTGAAATCAGCTATGATAAAATGGGCACAAGATATCGGTCATAACATTATGTTTGCTGACTGGGAACAGTTGTGGACCACCGGTATTAAATTTACGGCATGTAATGCCTTAAGAGAAAACATTATGAAAATGATGTATAGGTGGTACATGACCCCAGTCAAGCTTGCAAAAATTTACCATCTGCCCAATAACAAATGTTGGAAATGTAATGAGACTGAAGGTACTTTTTATCACCTTTGGTGGACCTGCCCGAGGATAAAAGCTTTTGGGAAATGATCTATAATGAAATTAAGAAGGTTCTTAAATGGACCTTCCCTAAAAAACCAGAGGCTTTTCTCTTGGGCATTGTCGGCCAATTGGTGAGAAGGAAGGACAGGACGTTTTTATGTATGCGACAACAGCAGCAAGGATTCTTCTAGCAAAGTATTGGAAGACACAACAACTACCCACACTGGAAGAATGGCAGACGAAGGTGATTGACTATATGGGACTGGCCGAATTGACTGGCAGAATCCGTGACCAGGGGAAAGAGACAGTGGAAGAAGATTGGAAGAAATTTAAAGTTTATCTTAGAACTTGTTGTAAAATTCAGGAATGTTAAAATGTCAAGGGGTTGGGAAACAGAGAACTGCAGCTGTAATTAATAATATTAGAAGAACTTAAAAGAAATTGAATTGAATAATTAGTTGATTGAGGAGTTGCTGAAGAAATATAAAACAAGGATGCAGAAAAGGGGAGGTATGGGGAAGTCCGGAAAGTAAGGTTTATGAAAAATGGCTATGAAATTATACATGTTTATATGTTTGTATGTCGGTGTTTTGTGTATTGTTTGCTTTCTTATCTTATGTTTGGAAAATTAATAAAAATTTATTAAAAAAAAAAAAACAAAACAAAAAAAAAAACATACTGAGCTGGCAGAGTCTTGCGCTTCTGTTTACCTGTATAATCAGAAGTGATGCCTGAGGCATCATATGAACTGAATGTATCTCAAGAGAAGTAATTGTACCAAGGAGAAATTCTGTATGAAACCCCTCTTTTTTACTTTTGAAAACTGCACTCAGTATACTATTGATACAACATAATGTGGAGGGAAGGGGTGAATGTTGCGTTATAAAATTTTAAAAAATCTGATATATGGTGTAATTTAACGGTAGCAAAAAACAGAACCTTTTATTTATTTGCAAAAACCAAACCAAACCAAACCAAACCAAACCAAACCACTTAACCCCTCATAGAATCATAGAACTGTAGAGTTAGAAGGGACCCTGAGGATCATCTAGTCCAACCTCCTGCAATGCAGGCATATGCAGCTGTCCCATACGAGGATCAAGCCTGCAACCTTGGTTCATATGGCTTACCGTTATTCAGTCTTCAGGTATGGGGAAATTAGCCTAAGCCTAAAGAAGAAAACCCTGAACAGCATGTCTGTGATCTTGCCATACTGGTAGTTACCCAGAATTGTACAGTATGATCGCAACTTAGACGTGCGATTTCAACACACGTTGAAAGTACAAAATCTCTCTGCCTTGCTTGGGGGGCAAGGCCCGCTCATCACACAGCTCTGGAAATGTAAGGATGCTCACGTGGCGACCTTCCAAGGCGGTGGCATGAATATACCCGTTTTTGCATATACGGTACCCGTTGCCACCCCCGGAACGTAAGCTCCACCCAAGATGCAGCCGTACAGTAATGTCCAATGAAAGGCATTGAATCCCCTAGTGGTCATATTGTTTCTATTTTTCCTAAATAAAAATGCATTTCATAACATAAATATTTAAAAGAAATAATCTACACAGCGGAAAAGGTTTTAAAACAAACGCTTTTCCTGCCACCCTGAAATTAGTTTCACGGTTTTAATTTTCAGGCAACATGTCATGTTCAAATTATACATGTTTTTGGAACGTTAAAATTAAGTACACATATTATCAAGGTTCAGTTACCAAGCAGCTCACAGATTATTGTACCATCCAAATAATTACATTTTGGGCAAGTAAGAACCAGTATTGGCTTTACCCTCAGTATTCACCAGCATTTTAGTCATATAGGAGAATATTTTTTTCAAAAAAAAAGTTGAACCAGGAAGGATTTACAGGATAATGAAAAGACAAGATTCAAGTTAAAATGATTTATACTTGGATATCTGTTTTCCATCACATGGTGTAGATACGTACACGCACCAGTCTGCTTTGTTCTGTTGAGCATGGCACATGGATCAGTTTGGAAGCAAAATTAGACTTGACGCCATGATTGAGATCAGGCTAAAGTAATCAAGTCAATGTCTCCTATGTCAAGAGGGCCTCTTTCCTAGCATCTGTTGATGGGGGAATAGAGATGAAGAAGGTTGAGGGGAAAGCTCAGTCATTAACCTTGCCAGAATCAAGGTCTGCTGATAGGGTTGCTCTCTATTTTAAGCACAAGGATCAGAAATATCCTGTCTCCTGTGCTCTCCCTGACCACTACATCTCCCCCTCGTAAAAATAAACTTGGTGGATCTGGGAACAAGATGGAACAAGATGGAGAGAGGAGCCCTTAAGAATGTGATTACAGAATTGTTATTTGAGTATAAATGGGAAGAAGACTGCAACACTTTTTTTACACTGAATTAAATAGTCACTGAACAGTTTGAAACATTTTCATTGTCTTGGACTGAAGAACTGGTATTCTTTGCTTCTTCCTCTGGTGGCAACATTAGTTCTTCGCTTTCCCTCACAATTATGAAATGTCTTTTTTACATTTAAATAAGTAAAGGCTTGTTAAGAACTAATAAACAAGTTCTTTAGAATCAGTATATTGCTGGTTGTCGTCTGTTATGTGGTCTTTATTTCCTTAAAATATTTTATTCTACAGCGCCTTTATTTTTCCAAACCAAGGATGCAGTGAGACCGAGCATTTTTAAATGGGTAGTAATAAGTGGCTTCTGAGAAAAGGAGTGTGGGAAGCTGTTTCCTTAGCATGTTTTAAAAGTACTTGATGAATGCATGTTTTACATGTTACCATGTTATTTATTTACTTTAGTCTGTTCTTAAAAATATACACTTAACTGGACTTGCCAACCTTAAGTTCTGCACCCCAAAACGATGCAAATATCTATTTTGCCTGTGCAACCTGGGTTCCAAACATGTTAATGCAGAGGGGGGAAAGACGTTTTTTGCAGATTTCAGATATAACACCTGTGAGAAGTGGTCCGTATTCACATGCACAAATGGCACAGCTTACTGTGTCCACTAGATGTCAGCAAAGAACACATATGTGCCTCTGGATTACAGCATCCATCTCTGCACCAGCAGGAATACAAAGCACGCAGTATTTCAGTGTCAATGCTGTAACGGTTGACATGAACAATGGCGTTGTGCTCAGGCTATGTGGATAATATGTGGCATAGAAACAAATCTTCCTGGATTTTGAGAGCCCTACAGCTTCTTTCCCACACTTCTAAATAAAGGTCCAAAGATTGAGCTTCTGATCTTGTAGGTTAGGAGATCAAGATACTTGAAATTTAAACAGGCATTGTTTAATATCAGCCCCCATTGTGAATGTAAAACTCATTTTGGATTAAATGCATCTTTTGAGTTTTCTTCTGAATTGTATCTCACATCAGCAGCATTTCTACATGGCAGAGAAAGCATAAGAAAAGATAGGTCAAAAGAATTTGGTGCAAGGCCCCGTTAAGTACACTGGATGCTTTGTTCCCTAAAATGGCATGAGTGGGTTGCTGGTTATTTGCTATGGAACTTTGGCTTTTGGTTCTGCTTGCCACAGACCTCAAATCGGAGAAGGAATATTTTGTATTCTAAGCTTCTGTGGAACTAATAAAAACCTATTTTTGTATATATAAAAAAATTGTTGCTGCAACAGCAGTTCTGCTACACTTAAAAGTGTCTGTGTGTTCAGTATTACCATATTTTGATCCTTATAAACTCTGACCTTGACTTTCTGCTTCTTACTTTCCAGATAACTGGTGTTATCCTTCTCGCTGTTGGTGTCTGGGGGAAGCTGACTTTAGGCACATATATCTCTCTCATTGCGGAAAACTCCACTAATGCCCCTTATGTCCTCATTGGGACGGGTACCACGATTATCGTCTTTGGCTTGTTTGGCTGCTTTGCCACATGTCGTGGCAGCCCATGGATGCTGAAGCTGGTGAGTATCCAGCCAAATAACTTGGTGCTGCTGGAGTGCTAGAAATTGGTAAAGTGGCCATTTTCTCTTGTTACGTGTAAACAGATGCCAAGCAGGTTTCAGCCACACACGGGCACACACAGAGCAAGGGAGTATAATTACTAAAAAGAGATCCATATGGGAAATCTGTCGCTCCTGGTATGACGTCTTGGGAGTGACATACAGGAATAATCCCATAATTTAGAGTTGAGCCACACATTCAAAACAACAGCACCATGTGCCACAGTCCTTTGGAACGTCAGAATTTAAGTGTGAGGTTTCGTGTTTAAATTTTCTGCAATGCAAGAAAAACTTTTGCCTCTGGAAAGGCAGAGTATTAGAAAAGGACTCTAAACCTAGTCAGGTTCCTGACTGGCTGGTTTCTTTGCAGGAGATATTTTAATGTTATCGGCACTGAAATAAGTAATCCCCAGCTGTCACCCTCCTAAATCAAGTAAATAAATAGAAATACGTAACTAACTGACCAATTGTATCACAGATAACTTGCTTCTGCCCCCAACATAATACCTGCCCCCCCTAAAATAATGATGTCGTCAATTGTGGATGAATACTATCCCAAAGTTTTTCCAAATTTGAATTTTAAATGAGCTATGAGTGGAGTTGGAAGAAACAACTGTGTTGAACAAGCACATAGTTTTAAACAATGCCAAAAGTGCCTTGAGCCCCACAATATTTTCGTGCATATATAAATGAAGTTAATGTGAACTAGAAGAAAGCAGAAGAGATTTTTTTAAAAAAATAGAATATTCTCTTTCACCTAGATATTCAAGTATAGACTAGGGAAATGCCATGTGTGCAAATGACAATAAGATAGCTATGATGAGGGGGAAACGACAAGCACACTCAAATGTGTGTCCTTGGGTTAACTTGGATTTATGCTAATTCATAAGCCTTTTGGCTGCAGTCCGGAGGTCCACATGGAAAGGATCAATAGGCACATCCTGGTGGGTTTTGCAGAGCTTCCCTGGCAGCAGCTCCCAGCTAGCTTGCTTGAGCAAGCAGAGTATCAAACTACCCGTGAGCCAGCTGGCAGCTGCTGCCTGGGGAAGCTCTCGGCAGAAAGCCCTGAGCGTGCACACATCACGTTTCTGTGGGGCCCAGGAGATTTCTGCCACCGTGTCAAAGCAAGCCCCATTGATCTAGTGGAATTTGTTTCTGTTCTTGAGCTCCTGGTTTAATTGTGCTTTTTAAAGTCCTTCCTAAAGACCTACCTTGTGTTTTGAATGCCATTGAATTAGAGATGGTGGAGAAATTCAGTTTGTCTGCATTTTCATGCATGTGACTCCCCCTCCTACCTAATTCATACCTCCTGTGGGGACCAGAACGCAGCGACCCTTCAGAATGTGTGCCAAATTTTGCATTTCTCAAACCAAAAAAGTGTGTCCAAAGATATGTATGTTAGAGGGGCAGTGGGAACAAAAATGCATATGTTAGTAAAATTTACATACAAAAGCATTATACTAGGGAAAGTTGCTTGCAAAAAATATGTGCGTTAGGATAAATGTGTACTAAAATGCTGATGAATTTTCATGAGGACTTAAAAAAATTGCATCCTACCTAAGTAATGATTTTGAGTGGTGCCTAAGCTGAATCATGCCCTTCTCAAGGGCTTTCTGAAATGAGGAATGTGTAGATCCTAACTGTGCTGAGTGCAGTTGATGAGTAGCACAGAGTTCAGCAAGATCCATCTCGGCATGAAATCATCCCAATTCCTTTGATTTAGAACCCACTACATCCCTCTACACTTTTCTGTTTTAAACTATTGTCATCCTGCCTTATAATTTCAGAGAAAAACAGCTTTGTCCCTGCCCTTTCCCCAAAAACTCACAATTTAACATCCAATTAAAAGTGCCAAATCAATAAAATCAGTAAAACAGCAGAACACATCATGAAACAATAAAGACCGTAAAAATAACAAGGCAGGACAATTTCAAGTCAGCAATCTCTCTAAGACTTAGGGCAATTGACAAGAGCTGGTTTCCTTTTTTTCATGTTTACAACACCTCATAAGATAAGCATTACTATCCCCACCACCAGTTTTTATAGCTAGGGCTGGAACCTGTGTTATCTACCCTTTTTGTACTGTTTTTGAATAAAAAAAATGAAGCTGCAGGCTGCAGTTCTATATTCCAGCCTTCAGGCTGGTGCCCTCCAGGGTGATGGGAGTTTAGTCCAAAACATCTGGAGGGCACCAGGTTGGCAAAGACTGTTGTGCACATTTACCTAAGTACTTCTTAGTAGACACATATAAGATTATATTTTCAGGCCAAGCCTGTATAGCATTTTAACTTATTGACATGGGCTCAGATTTAGTAACTGACATTAGCTTTCTTAGGGTGAACTCTGATTACCAAAATAAATACATGCTATGGGGAAGAACTGCTTTAAGCCCTGGGGCTTGCCTGCCCACCCAAGCCCAGATTTTACACCCCCTTTGTTAATTTTGGCATTAAGCCCTTTTCAGGAAAGCATGTAACCAAGCTGTCTAGACAGGTTTCATACCTGAAACAAATTGGGTTTACCACAATAATAGGTTTTCCCAGCCTCCGTTGAAGATTCCTCTTCTCCCTTTCCCCCCACCTGTTTTGCAATTGCAATTTTGAGGAAAAGGGAAACAGCGGGATAATTTGGCATCCAGTTTTTTGCTGAGCAACATTCTTGACGTTCTCCTAAAACTATTTGTAGAATTGCACTTTGTGTAGATGCAGTATTTATTGAATTCCCTGAATTGTAATGCATTCAAATAGGAGGAAAACCCTCTGCAGTGTGAATAATCTGTTCCATTCTTCATTTCCTCTTGTATTTCAGTATGCTATGTTCTTGTCTCTGGTCTTCCTGGCTGAGCTTGTGGCTGGCATTTCAGGGTTTGTGTTTCGCCATGAGGTGAGTATAAATTTCATGTTGGTAAAGGTGATGGCAGCATGGCTCTGAGCAGATTTTGCTGCACCCTCTTAGGATACTGGGTATGATTAACCAAGGCTGCAGAGTCCAGCACTTTACTTGGCAGCGATATGTACCCACAAACACAAATGAAAGGATTTAGCCTAAAGCTTTAGGCTTTTGCTGTTCAATATTTATTTTTGAGTTGCATTTATTTATATGCTCATCATGCAAGATCTTCTTTACCCTGTCATATATGCTGAAGAGAGAAAAATACCTTAAATTCTTTACATAAATGCTGCTACTTCAGCCAAACAGGCTTTTGATTGTATAATGCTGAGCGGATTTCCAAGAATGCAAAGCCAAACTAACCTAGTTTGTTTTGCTGCCTTGTAAATCTTCTGTATTTCCTGTGCTAAAAAGCAGCAGCAGAGCTAGAGTGAGGAAAGGGAAAGAAAAGGATAAAAGTGAGTTAGTGAGACACAGGGCTTATGGAAGGACACTTACCTTTTGCTCTGCTCTTTCAATGTCTAAGCATAGTGTTTTGTTTTTACCCCAAACTTTCACCACAAAAGCCAGCTCTATAAAGCTGAATTGGAGCAAATGTCAGTTCGAGTTCTGTGCTGATTGACATTTGCCCTGACTGAGCATTAATGAGTGGGTTTTTGTGGGGAAAACTCCAGAGCAAAAATAAAGGGGGCTCAGATACAGAGCTTAACATTGCAGACTATGCCCATAAAGAGCAGAGGAAAGGTAAGTATGGATAAGCCTACAATGAAATAAGAATACAATTAGGGTCTGTAATACAAATGTCTCTCAGCCCACTTCATACATACAGTGGTTTGTTGTTTTTCTCTTAAGAGTGCTTTAAAACCTAAGTACTTAAGTTTATTAAATTTGTTCATTGATTCTTACAACCAGGCCCCACGGTGAGTGCCACCCGGCGTTTGTCACCCCCTCAGTGGTGACACCCGGGGTGGACCACACCTACCGCACCCCCCCTTCCTCTGCGCCTGCAACCTGCATCAGTGATTGCCAGCCACTGCACCAAGGAGGCTGAAACTGTTGCCTAGCAACAGGAGCGTTTCTAGGTCTTGGGAGACCAGGCTGTGTCCTCTCTTTCTGCCCCTGCCTCCTCTGCTCCTAGTGGTGCAGTGAAACTTTCCCTGGATCCTGTTGCTCCCCATGAGGGAAGGGGGAAGATGGGAGTCCTGCTTCCCCAGCTGGGGCAACCATATCATAGGAGGGGGAAGCACCTCTTCTAGCCTATGTTCCCTGGTCTCAGCCCCCTCCCATGTCATCTTCCTGTTTCCCCTCCTCATCCATCTCAGCCTGCCACTGCACCCCTGAGCCCAGCAACTCCTCTTCATGACAGAGAAGGTCTTCTCTCCGATCACTTGGCTTCAGGTGTTCTGTCAGAAAACTTGGTTGTTAGGACCCTATAGGTTAGTAACCAAATTTTAAAATTGGCCAGACTATACGCATCTTGGAAACGTCAGTTGTCTTATACATTGCTATCCCACAATTCATAGCCAATTGGGTTGCATAAGGATTGCAACCATTATGATTAGTCCCATCTGAAAGGCGGTATATCCAAGCTGTTCTTGTGCAGTTGCTGTTTTGAATCAAAAGGCCCAAAAAATGTCAGTTAAGCTCTGTTCATGCCCTCTGCCACCTCTGAGGCTGAGCATCTTTTGCTTATCTTTTGCACAGTCTGAAGTGTTGGCACTTTTTGATCCTGAGGGCATTCCTGCCCACAAGTACCCTTTACTGCAACAAATCAGTGCTTCTTCTGTGGATTGGTCTTTCCCTTTTCTCCCTCCATCTTAATAGTCCAGTCACTAGGAAGCAAAAGGCAAATCTGAAGAGGATTTCTTCTTCCTTTCAAACACGTATATTGGTTTAGGAAAGTAAGGGCTTCAATTTAGGATTGGTTGTACATGCTTTGTACTTTTAAAAATTCACATCAAAATTATTCACCAAAAATAATTTTTAACAGTTGCATCAAAAAAAGTGATGCAAATTAAGCTAACTTCCCCATGTTCACTTCTTTCCAAAAATGTATTCTTCTTCTGCTCATCAGGAGGTAAGGGATTGTGCAGGACGTTGGAAATATTATTCCCTTTTATCTCTCGCTCACTTACAAACTTATCTTCGCAGCCATAGAAGGACAAAAACCCAAAAAACCCTGACACACTCAACAGGCCTTTGGTCCAGTTTCAACTTCTGTATCTGCTAGCTTGATACTGTGAGATGCATCCTTGGTAGTGATGCATTTCTTGGCAAAGGCAGTTAATTCAGGAAAATGAAACTGCTGCCATGAAGCATTGTCTCTTTCTTCTATTCCCATATTTCCCTTCTGTTTTTCACCTGATGCCTCTGACTCCTTGACATTTCCCTCTACATAATGAATGGAAGATTTAACTTACAGCCCTAGGTAGTAAATGCCAACACAAAGGACTACTGACTGCTCTAAGATAACTTTTGTCATTGCTGAATGTACACTTCAGGAGGAATGGCAGTTTCTTATTTTCTTCCTGTGTCTAAAACCATTCATTTCTTTTAAAAAAAATCATTTCCCTGGTCGCTCATTCAGGCTGAGAACTTGAGCACTGGAAAATCTATTCTGCATATGGGTCCAATACAGCTGACCATAATGTCTAAATTTCCCTTTTAGATCAAGGACACATTTCTTAGGACATACACTGAAGCCATCCAGAATTACAATGGAAACGATGAGAAGAGCCATGCAGTGGATGACGTACAACAGAGTGTAAGTTCAAGGTTGCAACGACTAAAGCCAATACTCTTCTCCGGTTGCAACATAAGAATTGTCAGTTGCTCGAAATGTTGTCTGTGGATTGAACATAATCAATTGGTTGCAACACTTGAGCAGTCATTTTCATCATTCTAATTTCATTCACCTCTTTTTGCCGTACACTGACAAATCTCAGACATATAGGACATGGTCTTCACTACAGTAACCACTGGAAGCTGTTGCAGATTTTTGGCTGGGACAATCAGCTGTCATTGGATGCTGGGAAGGGAAATGGTGCTTTTAAATATGCATCTATCCATTTGTGATCCGTTAATGACCAGTTATTCCTGGTGTTAATGCTAAAGGCTAACCATTTATTGCCAGCATTTGATAACCTTACTATCTTTTGATCAGTGCCTGGGCACATGACTCACTGGTTATCCCCAGTTCACTTGAGAAGCATTTGGCAAAGCATGCTTGGAATGTTTGAAAATGTTTATTCTGTTCAAGAACTCCAGAAGTCTGATGGTACTTGTGAGCATGTGATGCTCTTTGTAGAAGGCCTGTAGTATATGCTTTGCAGGCAGAAGATCCCAGATTCAGTCTTTGGCATCTCCTAGTAGGGCTGGAAGGACCCTCAACCAGTCAGTGTTGGCCAGGGATGAGGAATATGTGGCTTTCCGGACGTTGCTGGAGTCCAATTCCATCAACCTTAGGCAGTATAGCCAATAGTCAGGGATGGTGAGAATTGTGATCCAGCAATGCCTGGAAGGCCACAAGTTCCCCATCCCCACCACTACCATCGTATCCTGCCCAGGTAAGGTGCAGCAACACCAGTGTAAAAAAGGTGGCTGTATGGATCTGCCCCTCTACAATGGCCGCTGCTGCTTTTTGTGATAGTTGGTATAGTTTGAAGTAAGGACGTGAAGCATTTCCTGGTTTTTCTAACTATGGTCTTACTACTATCCTTTCTGATTATTTTTAGCTGAGTTGCTGTGGTGTCCAGAACTACACCAATTGGAGTACTAGTCACTATTTTTATGAACATGGTATCCCCCCAAGCTGCTGCATGAATGCCTCTGACTGCAATCCCTCAGACCTGGCCAACATTACCATTGCTGCTACTAAAATAAACCAGAAGGTATGGACCACTTTGCTTAGTTGCATATTTTTCAGCTTTCTCCATAACAAAAGGCAAAATGTGCTGAAAAGGGGCACCTGGGGAATTCACTGCAGTCTTACCCATTCATCCTACTGCTAAGCTGCGTTCTAGAGCTGGTGTTTCTCATACTCCAACAGAGAAGAGATGTTTCTCCCATTTCCCAGTGATCCCTGAGCTAACTTCCCATGCCCCTGATTCTCATTCTGACAGAAAACTTCCTCCATCAGAGCTGACAAGGCTGAAGAATGCAGCAAGTAGATTCAGATAACCTTGATAGTTATGCCAGTCATCGCGTCTGTTCTCACCTGTTGCTTTTTTTCAACATCTTGCAACCAGTTTTCTGAAAGATGTGCCATGTACTGGATGCTAACAGCCTGCTTGAACTGAGAAAACAGAGATGATTGACATAAGAACCATGCTTCATTAGGCATGTTTACTGCGCCTGTTATAATGCTGTTGGAGTCGTAAAGCTGGAGGCAGAACACAGCAACATTTGACCCCGAGCCAAAAGGGATTGCAAAAAGCACAGCGTTTTAGTGAGCATGAGTGAGAACAAACGAGATGAATAAACATGTAGAAAATACAGGTTATTCAACTCACGATTTATGTGACGTATAAAAAAATGAATAAATACCTCTTTAGTACTGGAACAGAACTTTTTTCTGTTCAACCTGACTCTCATATAACAGCATTAATGTTGATTTACTGTATCCATTCCCTGTCATTTTATTTACTTCTTCCAGTTTAACAGTTACATCATGAAATAGTGTTACAATATGGAAAAATATAGGGGGGTTATTTTTTGTTTAAAGGTGACCTTTCTTAGTAGGTATATAAATGCAGTCACAAATGAAAAGCTGTTATGATAAAAAGTGAGAATAACTATAATTCTTCCTTTGAGATAAAGCTATTTATCTCTCCTTACGTAAAAACTGAGGGTAGCCATCTTCTTCAGTTTTGCTGGGGTGGGGGAGATTCTCCCCTGCTTAAGGATGGGCACTCCTTGGTTATGGTGGTATCATACAACCTGGGAGAATCTGGTTGCCCAGGCTAAAAAGCCTAGAAGACCTTTGTTTCCCATGCTGGCAGGTGCACAGGAAATGAGAAGTTGCACCAGCGCAACCCAACTAGCATCTTTCATTTGGGCTCAGCGAATGGGCTGGGAAGTCCACAAGGCACCCTGGAGTGATTCCCATTTTGCAATTGGAAGGGAAAGAAGTGGAGTTGTCGCTCCCTTACACTCCTTTTGTCCTGCCCAGTGTCATTTTCTGACCAACATTTTTCAGGATTTGGTTCTCAACAGCATGCAAGGTTGTTCTTCTCATTAGGGCATGTTTCCCTTCCAAATATCAGAGATTGCCTGGCAGGTGGGCAGCAGCATCTTGAAAGCCGAATGTGGAATTCAAGAGGGGGGGAGATGGAGCCCATCTTTGTATGATCATCAGTTAAATCTAACATTAGATCAGTGCCCAATACCTTATTTTCACATCTCTAACATCAACTAATCCAGGGTCTTTTTGTGCTGAAGCCCTCTTTACAATATGACAAAAAATACTAGAGAGATGTGAGTCATCACAGGCAATTCCAATGCCGTGGTCAAGGTGAATAGCAGGCCAGCTAGCTGTTATCCCATATTGCTAGATTTAGCCCACATAGGCTATCAGTCTGTATAACACAGGGTTAGAGCTTTCTCAGAGAAGGTCGGCTGTTGAATCTTTTCGTTCTCTCTTTTTCCTAACTCCTATGAGGTTCCTCCATGCTTAATTATTAACACCTGGCTCATCAAACAAGGCCTAAGATTATCTTTGCAAACAATTGATTTCCTATCCCAGCTCCCAAAGCTACAGCAAAGGCACACAAGAGCTCTGATCTAGTAGGGAGAAGCTGACCTACTACAAGAATGAAGCTGGATTTAATGTAGATCAGATGGTTTGAAGTTGTTTGTGGATTGCCCAAACAGATGTATTTTTGTTTTTTGTTTTTGCTGTCCATCACCTCCTGATATAGATTTAGACATATGTTTTATTCACAGAATAATGCCAAGAAGTTTAACTGATATTAATCTCATATTTACAATATACTTATTCATAACTACTGATGAGTCCATTTCCCCTAAAATATTAGTAAGAGAATAGTTATCTTAATGTGAAAAGGAGTTTGTTCATTAATTATAAAACGTTCTCAGGAGAGACATATTTTGTCAGGTAATTTGTTGTGAATGTTGCAACAGTCTTTTTAAGAATACACAGTGCGGGCAGATGAATTAAAAAGAGTTATGAAATAGATAGCAAACAATGCTGAATTCTGATGAGTTTCAGAAATGTTCACCAAAGTTGAGAGCATTTGTACAGCATGAATCATAATTTTTTGTTTTGTTTTCAACCTTCAGATCCCTTCTGCTGGGGTATTTTGATGCTTCAGCCTCATGGTCCCATTTAAGTTAGTGAGTCACCAAGCCAGGACATGAAGTTGTTAAGAGATCAGGCCTGATCTGGTGAAATCCACTGTCTAGTACTCTCAGTGAAGCCAGTGTGTGGAAGTTGTGGACACTCCCTTGTCTGTTTCAACAGAGGCTTTCAGCAGGAATTTTTCAAATGCATTTTGTCCTAGTTTGCTAAATCTTTAGCTCATTTTCCCCAGACAAACTGTATCCTTCTAATGCTGGCTGGGGCTGATGGGAGTTGTAGTCCAAATAATCTGGAGGGCACCAGGTTGGGGAAACATTGCTTTAAAGAAAGGTACATTATGGTAACCATACCCTAAAATGTAAAGTTTGAAAAGTTGTATGCAGTTTATCAAATTCACTCAATCTTCCCACAGTCTTGGGTTACTCATTAGTATACATTGTGGTGCTGAAGTGCATGTCAAACTGTCTAATCCTTCGTTGAGCACTAAATCAGGGGCAAGTGGATATCCCTATCAAGAGTAATTGGCTGCTTTCTTTTCCAGGGCTGTTACGATCTGATGACCAATTTTATGGAGACAAATATGGGGATCATAGCTGGAGTGGCTTTTGGAATTGCATTCTCACAGGTATACATTTTTAGTGCTTTGAAGGCAAGGTGTGTTTGCTTATTTCTTCAGCTTCTGGGAAGGATTAGGATAAGGGACATGCCTCTCAAACTGTTCGTTAGTTCTTAGGGTCATCTGTTCATTGATTTTTCTTTTCCAACTTAAATGGAGTTTCTCCTTGGGAATATCGGTTACAGCCCAACTAATGACTGCCTCAAGGGGGTGGGGAGGACCCTTCCATTGGGTCAAATAAAGGTTAACCTAATAAACCAATGGCTTAAATGGAGCGTAAACAACTCACATGCCAAGCAGTTGATGCATGACTTACATAGGTTTCCCCCCAGCCCAGAGCAGTCTTTTGCGTAAAGGAAATATCAGATTCAGAGAACCATCATCTATGAAACGAAAGCAGATGCCAAGGTAGGCACATTCAAAGGTTCATATTAAGGGCCATCAACAGATAAATTTATTTCAGTTTTCACAATTAAGATTTGTAATAAATAAAAGCGTTTTTAGTGTAAATGCTGGGACTGACAGGTATTGGAGACTAACAACATGGAAGGGCCACAGGTCTTAGATGGGGACAAACAGGGCAGAAGAGTTGTTATGCCTGGCTTCTGAGCTTCCCAGAAGCATCTCTGGCAGACTGCTGTTGGAAATCACATTGTTAGGTTTAGTGGACCTTTTGTTCTCATCCAACAGAGTTGTTCTTATGTTCCTATCTTACCCTTCCTCCTGATAGTGCTGAAAAGAGGAGCAAAGATACACTGTACTTTTGCAAGAGGATTGTTGGTGATTCTGGGGGTGATTGATTATGTATGACAGGATGCAAGAGATAACTTAGTACTTTATACCCCACTTTTATATCCCACTCAAGGCAGTGAACATAGGATTCCCAAGTGACCTCCCACCGAGGCACTGAACAGACCCAAACCTGCTTAGCTTCAGCAATGTGGCCATATCACATGTCATGAGATCACGCCATGTATAATTCACTGTCTTGCATTTCTGAACCATGATCTTTCTGCATTGCTATTGGCAAAGGTCTATTGTCCATAGCAATCTGTTCTCAAGCCGGCTTTGGCGGAGCTTGATTTCCAGTGGAATGTTATACAAGCATACTTCTAAGTGGCACATCATGAAGACATCCCTTTGGGCTTGTTCTGCACATGGGAAGAAATTCCTTACCTCTGCTTACCACCCCCTCTATGTCAGACAATAAAATGTAACTGTATACCGCACCCTTTCATTATATAATCTGTTTCCATTCTGTTTCTTAGTAATCAATAGCACAATGAAACATCAAACAGCACTGTGTCCTTAACTTTGGAAGGAGATAATCTGCCATGAAGAAACCACCCCAGTTGTTGTTTTTTGCTTCTGCACAATTGAGTGTTTTCCACTTCTCTTTGCTTAATTAGCTAGACTAGAGATGGTTTAGCTTGTGAAAAATGAAGTTTTTTGAAACGAGACAAAGAAGAAGTCATGAAATACAATAAAAGTGTCCTGCGGCACACTTTCTTTAAGCACACATTTGGGGGGTGGGATGGACTGTGCCTTGTGCCTAAAAGTGTCTGCACAATTCACATTTGCACACTCTTCTGTAGAAGAGACATCTGTGAACCTTTAAGAGATTGTTTTGTTTTAAAATGGTATCGGTCCTTTCAGTTTGAATTGAATAATGAAGAAAGCATTCTTCATAGAAAATGAAGGACCAAACCAAGCTGCACATGGTAAAGTCTAAATTGTCAAAGATTGTGTGTGTTTCAGAAAAGTGACAGCAACCTTCAACATATAATGTGGGTGGACATTTTCCTGTTAGTCCCCAAGTTGTCCTTGTACATTTAGGAAAGAGAATTGTACAGAGTGTAGCTAGTGGTTTAAAAGGTCACTGGTTTGCCCTTTGTAAGATGGAATTGCTACCAGGTTACTCATTAAATGGGGACAAATTATAGTACAGCTTTACAGCAATGTTGACCTGCTTTTAATGGGGAATACAGAGCCCAGGCACTTATTTGTAAATGTATTGGAAATCAATTTTACAATGTATAATAACCATTCATTTTCAAAGTGGAGGCCTGGTGTATTTCACATGCATCATGTTATTGCTTTGTATTTTTTTATTGGTAATTTAATTGTCAAAGGAAGTATTTGTACATTGACTGAGTGAGATACAGTTCATCAGCAAATAGAACTGTTCAGATCTGGGGATTCAGTAACTAAATCCCAATTAAGACTGCAGTTCTAACCCCACTTACCTGGGAGTAAGCCCCATTGAATTTAATGCCAGAAGCGGCTTAGTCATGCCAGAAGTTATGCCAGAAGCGGCTTAGTCATGCTGGCCACATGACCCTGAAGTTGTACGCCGGCTCCCTCGGCCAATAAAGCAAGATCAGCGCCGCAACCCCAGAGTCGTCTGCGACTGGACCTAATGGTCACGGGTCCCTTTACCTTTACTTCTGAGAAGTCATGGTTAAGATTGCACTGTTAGTCATACTGAAACTGAGTAGGTCCACTGAAATCAGTGGGCCTTAAGTTAGTCATTTTGCAGTAGCAGTTGGCAGGGCATGCCAGGGCAGGGCAGGCAAGGCGGTGTTGCTCACTTGCCTTCCCAACTCTGAGCATTGCTGCTGCTGGTCATGAGAGGGGCAATGCGCAGGGAGCACAGCACAGATATAGCAGCAGAGCCAGTCCAATGCTTCTGCTACAGTACCTGCACTATGCTGAGTTGCCCCCTCTCCCGTGCTTTGCCCCTCCCACTTTCAGGAATCAGCAGCAATTTTCGGTGACAATGCTGCCTTCACTGTGCTACCCCATTGACGACTACTGTCATAATGTACATTTTAATGATTCAGTGGGTCTACTCAAAGTATCCCTAAGTCTAGATTCAACCCATAGTTCATTGGAGACAAAAGTGGAATATAAAATTGGATGCTGAGAATTAATTGCAGCCTGAATACAGGTTTAATTTTGGGCATGAGAAGGATATCTAAGTATTAATATGCCTGCAATCTTTGTGACTGACTAGAGCTTACAACCCACTGTTTTGGTTTTAAAAACCAAACACACTGACTCTGTCACTACCACCAGTCAAAGACATTATAATCTTCCTTAAATTAAGCATACTCCTTACCAGCAAAACAAGACTGTCAAGTATTTCTGTTATATCCAGCTTTCAATGAATGCTGAAGGCACACCTCTTTACCCTGGCCTTTAACATCTGCTTATCTGTGTTTTCAGTACTCACTCTATTCCTGTGACTGTAATCTGTTTTAACTGTTTTTAATTCTGAATTTTAAATTGTTGTAACCCACTCTGAGGCCTGCTGGATAATAAATGTATTATTATTGTTATTAGGCTTTTTGCAAAACGGCAAATTGATTTAATCATTCCAGTGGCAATTTAATACATAAGCATTTTGATAAGGTAACAGTCTCCTCAATCGTAATGTTTGTGTGAAAGAAAATAGCGGAATGTATACTGAATTAAAGCAAGTTGTTGTTGTTGAAAAAATACATCTCCCCAGAATAGCTTATTTGATTAAATGTATAGCATATTAAATGGTTAACCTGAGCTGTCAAGAAATGTACAGGGGTTATAGGTGAGCATTGACTGTGCTATGAAATGGATAGCCAAATATATCACATGGCATTCTAGTAGATGCTTGTGACATGCATAGAAAGCAAATGACTGTGGTGGACCTCACTCCAATCTTACTTTGTAAGACAACTGATGTCTTCTGTTTTTAGTTATATACATAGTGTAGAATTCCTTAAAAAATTGAACTAAAAGAGCAGCTGTATTTTACTTTAGTATTGTCAGTTGTCTGTCATTGGTAAGCTCTGCACTTGTGAAATGTAGGTTTGTAGCAGAGATAACAAGGAAATGATTGGAAAGTTGTTTGGAGGGGGCCATCTAGAATGAAGACAACCAGTGGGCAACCCGCTCACTTATGTGGATCACAGAAATGCAAAAAGAAGCAGTCTAAGGGATTTTGGGTGTGCTAGACTGGAGGAATACACCCCACAGTGGGAACTGAAAAAGGCAATGTGTCATGGCAGCCAAGAGTCCTCCAAACTGCAAGTGCCATGCTGGACAGATGGAGTGTAGGATGAAATGTAACACTGAACCACTTTGGAAGATTAATCTGATTGAGAGTAACTGGCTCTAGAGTACTGGGGTTAAGTGCAAACAGGAACACTTTAATTACAAGTACCTTTTGGTCTACTTTCTTGAACACTTTTGCGTTCTACTATACTCTACGGCCAAGATGCAGAAAAGTGCCACGACTCATGATCACTTAATATGAGATGTCTTGAATGAAGTGAAAAGGCAGCAGCACAACTCCGCAAACAGCTCTGAATGTTAAAACCAAAGCAAGGGTATATATACCCTGAGCAATAACCTGTGATTGTCAAATAACATAGAACGAACTGAGTGCTGCCAGCCTCTTCTGCTAGTGGCAATTGATTAGAATGTCTAATAAAAGGAGCTCGCATAAGAAAGTTGTGCAGACTCTAATCACACTTAAAGCCTGTACAACATCCATGTGCTTCAAGATAAATGCCAAAGTGATTGCACAGGTGTCAGGCAATGTCTGTAACATCTGAAGTCACTTTGTGTCTGACCCACTGCTTTTGACACACCAACATGGCAGGGAGTAGAAAGAACCTGTGAGGCACATTGCTATCCCTTAACTAAGTACTGTGTAAAGCAGGCAGACCTGGAGCTCATTGTGCAGGTGTCTGCACAGTGAACACTCCAGAGACCACACTGGTCTGGAGGCTGTCTGTCAATGCATAGCGGGAAAACAGTGACCCATATTACAGTGAGATTTTCATGGATTATTTGCTGACCTATAACTAGTGTTTAACTGATCTCAGAGATCTTGTATAGCTCAGTTGGTTAGAGCGTGGTTCTGTTTCGACCCCCATATGGGGCAGCTGCATATTTCTGCATTGCATTGGGTTGGACCAGATGATCCTCGGGGTCCTTCCAATTCTACAATTCTATGATTCTATCTTCATGAGCATATCCTAAGATGCCTGAAAGACAAGAAGCTAAAGAACAACAGATTGTTTTGCAGATACAGCCTTTTTTCAATGTGTAAATATTGAAGGTGAGCTGTAACCATTGGGAAGGGGTGCATATGTCAGGAAGCTGATAGAAATAACATATATATATATTGTATAATAAAGCAAGTCAAAAAGACTTTGATTTCTTAGAAACAAATATAACAAAAGTGAAGTTGCCTGGGTGGGAGATACTTTACAGGAGCTGATGCTTCGCAATTGCATTGATTCTGTGTTTCTATTGTGTCTATTGGCTTAAACATATAATATTTGTGTATTTACATATTTTAAGGGATTAAATAAATAAATAAATAATCCTCAGAAGAGTCCATGGATTTCACAGTGACACTGGACTACATGTATGATATTTTCTCTTTCTCTCTCTAACAGTTGATTGGAATGCTGTTGGCATGTTGCCTGTCCCGATTTATTACTGCCAATCAGTACGAGATGGTGTAACAAGGTGGGTCTGTATATTGCTTTATGCAGGATGTCCTTCCCAAAGTGACTCTGATGCCTTGCTTTTCTGCTTATGAAAGCCCATTACATAGCTGTTTGTATATAGTCAGTCAGTTTTTGCAGCTGGGATGAAAATACTATAATCAGAGTTAATCAGAGTGGCATTATTTAAAAAAAAACACCCTAAATAGATCTCTTGATTCAGGCAATATACTGGATATGTTTTTGTAACCTTAAAAAACAACCAACCCCCCCCCCACAAAAACACCTTAACAATATCTGCATATCTACTCAGATGGAAGTATCACAGAATTCAGTGGGGTTTACTCCCAGGAAAGAGTTTACGGGATTTCAATCTTCTGAAGCAAAATATCACTTACATTGCTATTCTGTGGTTTATTTCAATTAATTCATTAAACAGTTAGAAGCAAGGGGGGCAGATCATTAGGAGATTTGGAGTTAGTTGATGACACTTTCTTTCCTTTACATTTTGGCCCAGAGAGGCTGTGAAGGTTCTAAACCAGTGATGGACTGGATGTGGGTTAAGAACCTGTAACTTAATTTGGACAAGGTAGAAGTGCTCCCAGTCAGTAGGACTGCTGATCTGGCAACAGGAGTTCAGCATGTTGGTCTCTCCTTGGAAAACCAGGTTTGCAGTTTCAGGATGCTGCTAGTCCTGAGCATGCTCCTGATTTCCCAGATGGCTGCTGCAGTCTGGAGCACTTTTCCTTTGCATAGCTGGAGTGCCAACTGTATCCATTTATGGAAAGGATGGACCTGTATAGCTCAGCTGGTTAGAGTGTGGTGCTGATAAGGCCAAGGTTGCAAGTTCAATCCCTGTATGGGACAGCTACATATTCCTGCATTGCAGGGGTTTGGACTAGATGACACTCATGGTCCCTTTCACCTCTACAATTCTATGATTCTAATTATAATTGAAGTAGATATTGTGCTTATATTTGTTAATGTTTTCGCAATACAGGGCTTTCTTTTCCCAGTGGGAGGAAAGTTCTTCTGTTAGAGGAAAGGAACCTTTGATCTAACCCAAAGCATCCTTACTTTCAAAAGAGGATTTTTATGGTTGATGGTAACTAAAACAATCCCTTGTTCTCTCTCCCACCCACCCCTTTCTCTTCTTTCCAGGGGTGTCAAATACAGTGCCTGTTTTCAATCAGGAACTGGATAATTCTTGGAAGACTTCTAAAGAATGTTAGAGCACATACACAACTACACATATACACACACATAAAGCCACCACCTTCTAAACTCTGTACCATGCGTAGTGTACCATTCCGTGAAGTACTGTTGTGCCGCAAAAGTAGCCTGAACCATTCAGCATCCAGTACTGTACACTCCATCCTGAAGGCTCTGCATATGATGGCACTATATGTATGTTCTTGGTCAGACTGTAGTTGCATTGTAAAGTTAACAGAGGTAATTCATTAACAGCAATGATTGGGCTGTGCATGTAGTGACTGGAGGGCGAGATTAGCCTTTCACTATGGTTAATAAATGTCGCACACATCCATATTAAACTTGTATACAAATATATAAATATATATATATATATTATTTGGTTTTTCAGATTTTTAATTTCTTGATTTTTGTTTACTGCTTTACTAAAGTTTTTCAACGTACCCACTCCCTCCCCCACAACTGCCCCAAGAAGAAATCAGTTACATAACTCACGAAGATACTTGAAAAAAGTCCAAAATCTGCTTGAGAGAAATTGTTCTTTTGATGTTCTGCTGCACCTTTGATTCTTAATGTTGTACACCTAGTGGGTTGCCAGTAGGCCTTTGTCTAGTGCATTCTGCCTCTGAATCTGAACCTGTGTAATAGTTACTAAGCTGTGTTTGTTTGCTTACTGTGAAACCAGTAATTTCTGCTTTTTAAAAAATTAGATAATTATGAACTAATCAAACTGTGCTGTAACACTACTTTCTTCTCCCCCCTTTTATTTCTTTTACTCTCCTTTTGCATTGAAGTTGCCACCAAATACATTGTCAAATCAATCAAACGTATGGGGGGGAAAGAGTGTGTGGAATATTTTTGGGGCTGGGAGCAAAAGTTTAAGACCTTTTTTAAAAAGAATAGGAATTTTTAAATAAGGCCTCTGTCTAGCATGCCAACAAGAATGCATTGATATTGTGAGTATTTGTGATATACATATTAATAAATGGAACCATTACGGATTTCTACTGGCCTCCATTTTATTTTTCAGCAATTACACAGACTTCTTTTTTCAATGGTAATGTTATGAAAGCCTGTATCTGCAAAATATTCTTTCCTACCTCATTTCATCCCCCCCCCCATCACTCTGATGGAGCACCATCTGAACATGGTTTATTTCAGGGCTTGGAAGTGTTCATGTGAACTTTATGTTCACACTGGATAGGGTAGCACTTCAGTTATCATCCAATTTTGGGCGGGGGGCACAAATCAGGTATGAAAAATTGCAGCAACATAAAATACACTGCCCTACAGCAATGTGACAATAACATTGTCTTGTTTCTTTTCTGGAGAAAAGAGATAGTACAAGACCAGCTGTATGTATATTGAACATTGTGTTGCTGCCCCACATATGTCTGAAAATCTTACAATTGCAGATGTGATCCGAAGTGTATATGTATATGTATGACATAATTGTTTTCTATTTCTCATATATAATACATTTGCCTAGTATTCATAATTAAATTGCTTCTTCAGATGGCATGCAAATACCAGTTACTACCAATTTCACTGTGTAAATATGTTCACTACCTGAACATTAAAGGTATGCTTGAAAGTGACACCAAGTACAAAATGCAAGAGCAAGCGGTTAATTTGAGTGAAGATAAAGAAGCATCTGGACACATCTCAGCTGAAAGAGACATTCATGACTGTGCAGCCTCCTGAAAGCACTGGTGCTTTGATAAACATTTAGGACCAAGGTTCACTGGAGAAGAGGACCCTGCTTCTTGGCTCTTACTGTCCCCTAGTGCGGCAGCACCAGACACCCTAATTATGATTGAGTAAAACAATTAGGTCAGGTCTTGAGAGGTCTCTGGGGCAATTTTGCAGCCTCATTTCCCTGCCTGGCAGGATGTCTGCCTTGAGGTTCTGACTCAGAACCCCAGTCACCTGGTCAGGGGAGACAAGGATGCTGGGCCCTGCATGGTGCCCCTGAGCTCTGGCAGTAGCAGCACTGTTGCATAGCAGCATGATCTGCCAAGTGGGCAATACTCTGATGCTCAGGGGGATAAGCCCTTCTTTCTCAGCCAGATTTAACTAGGTCGTGAGGAAAAGGAGCTGGAAATTTGCAACCAGCTCATAAGGAAATGGAAGCATCAGTTAGCTCTTAGTGCTGCAGTGGGACATTTGGATGAAGGTGCTGCTGCCACAGCTACTGGGGGATCCTCATTGTGCTGTCCAGCAGAGCTTTTCCAGGTAATATAGGGTCCAGCCCAAAGGAGGTGGTAGAACTGACGGTAGCTCATTATGACTTGTTTGCATAACATTTTGAGGATAAAATTGCTTGCATCCACTGGGATATAGTGTCTGCTATTTTAGCAGCTGAATCAAGGGGCGTCCAGAGCACTGTCCAGTCCTGTTGTGTTGGGTGAGTTTCAGTAAGGCTCGAGGATGGGGACAAAGTGCTTGGATTGGTTAGGGCAACCACTTGCGCTCTGGACCCTTGTACCTCTTAGCTGATAAAAACTAGCAGAGAGGGGAAACCCTGTGGGACCATGCTTTCAGGGCAGCTACATTTTCCTGGCTTTGCTCCTGCATCTTTCGCAGCAGACTAACAGGAAGAAATTAGGCAGGTGGAGCTTTCTTCCTCATTGCTTTATCTCTCTGCTAGAAAAGCCTGCCTAATTTCTCTGTGTGCAGCTGCTGTTAAATGAGCAGGAGGAGAGCGGGCAAAGGGGGGCAGGAATGGCAACTCTAATTAAAGGTATGCTTTCACAGAACAAACTGGGCTCTCTTCCTGATTTCCGCTCAACGGTAATGCAGAGAGAGAGGCATGTGGAGGTGCAGCAAAGATGTTCCACTGTGGTGATTTTTAAACCATGAGTACCCTTTGTGAATCAGAAGTAGGGTGTCGCCTTTTTAACCTGACCTGCTCCAAAGCCTTAACAGCAGCCTAACAAGCAGACAAAGCTTCCTGGCATTCTGTGTCTTTGCCTGTATAAGCTTCCCCTGATCAATTTTGGTGTCAGGCTATAATTAAAGCTGGAAAGGGGGTGATAAAGCTTGGCTGTGCCTGCTTGGCAAACAGTGCAAAGGTCTAACTGCATGTGAATGCATGTGGTGAACCTTCCAATGGCCCTCCTTTCGCTGCAAAGCAGTCTAAAGGGGTGGACAATTTGGAGTACAGCTGGAAGGGAATGCTTTCACAGTCACAACAAGCGAAAGCAATGAGTATGGGGGGTGAAGGACAAAGCACTCCCTCTTCTTGCACCAAGACCCTCCTCACAATGCTGTTTTGCAATGAAGTAGCATCATTGGGCATTCATTGCACACATTTATGGTCCTCAGGTTCTTCAAGTAATGCCAGTTCGTCACTCCATGCAGCTCTAAGTGCAGCAAAACCCATATTATCTGGGGACAGAGATGGGAAACCTGTGGCCCTCTGGTCAAATGTGCTGCTGGTAATGTAGAATTATAACTCTTGAAGGGGGAAAAGTATTGGGACTCCTATAGTCCTTGACCATTGGCCATGCTGGCTGGTTGGTGATGGGGATTTGGAACCTAAACATCTCAAAGACCACTGGGTCTCCATTTCTGCTTTTTGGAGTAGCAGCTTTAATAACACATACAACACAGTGGGGCCAACCTAGAAGGCTCCTCACTGCATACAATCTAAATGCATCTATTCCTCTCCTAAATTGAGGATGGGGTTTGGTTCTGTGGGTTTCCAGCAGAAGTTGACAGTGCACAGTGGTGATTGGCTCCCCCCTGTAATGTCACCAAGACTCCCCCCCCCAAGTCTTTGATTGTTGTGCATTTAAATATTTCTGTCTTTTTAAAAGACAAAGACATGAATGTTCATGTTGTGCTTTCAAAAAACTTTTTTTTAAAGGCAGACAACTTGCTTAAAAGATTGGGGAAAGAGCAAAACAGATAGCTGAGCTGGTATTTGATTTGCTGGTATGAATGCCTGCCATTTCAGTTACTAAGTGGAGCTTGCCCCATGGCTGAAGAGTGTGCTAGAACTGTGAGATTTCTGGGTGCTTCCAGATGAGGGCTTAATATTGTAAATAGGTTGTTCAAATATCGCAAATGGGTCACTAGCAACTGTAGTTGTTTTTTAAAAAGATTTCCCTAGGAAGGATAAATCCAGATTAAATGAGAGGGGGAAACTGGCTGGCATTTTGATGCCAACATCCTCGTTGCATGGGAACATCCACCCTGCAATTAGCACCCATCTGGAAGAACCCTGCCCTTAGCAAAGACAAAGCCTAGCCAAGGGTTTTAAACCTTTATGCCTTGCATGCAAGCACATCTCGAAATTATCTTGGACAAAATATTCTTTTCCTCTTGATGGACGTTAATTCACTCCTTGAGCAAAGAGTTTCCATCATGCTCAGGACCCCAGAACATCCCTCCCTTCCCTTGGCCCTTGTGCAGCAGTAATCCTGATTGAGTACTTGGGGGACCAGCTCTTGGGCTTTCCCCCACAGGGTCAGATCCTGCACTGCACTGAAGAATAGCACCTATTCTGCTTTATAGCATAATAAGGAGGCCATCCCTGCAGGAAAACAGTTTGCAAAGAAAGCCTGGCACACAACCTGCCACTTCTCAGCTGGCTGGGAAACTTAATCTGATCAAGCAAAGCAGAGCAAGGGTGGAAAGAGCTTGCAAACATTGCTTACTGAGCCTCAAAACAAAATTCCTAGTGGGGCTGTATGCAAGCTGCCCAGCATTGGTGCAGATAGAAAGTTGGCACCCGCTGCATTAATTTAGAAGATGAACATTGTCCTGCATGGTACAGCCTAGAAGCAGCAGACTGGGTTGGCATTTGAAGGAGGTGTCAGCTTGCCAAAGCCAGATTGGCCAGAGCCAGCCTTTGACAAGAAGCAATACAAGAGCTGCAGATGGCTCAGAGAAGGCCTTGCTCTCTTCGGGTGGCTGCTCACTTGGCTTCCTGGCTGATGCTGAGCAATGTGGAGTTGCATGAGCAGTGGGAATAATACAAGAGATGCAAATGCATGTAAGATGACAAGGCAGCAAGGAGAGAGAGTGCCAAGCCAGGCCTTCTTCGATTCTTCAGAGCAACAGGGACATCACCTGTTCTTCAAGAATGCTCAAAAATTATAAACGGAGGCTCTGAGATTACATCCGCAAGCTCTCTTAGTACCTTTGGGTGCAGCTTATCAGGCCTTGGAAACTTGAATTCATTTAAAGTAGCTAAGTGTTCCCTTCCACCTCTTTTCCTATCCTGGGCTGCAGTTCCCTCCTTGCATCGTTTAGTCTGTAATCACCAGGATGAGCACTACTTTCCTCTTGGGTGAAGACAAAAGCAAAGTAGGTGATGAGCAGTTCTGTCTTCTCTCTGTCACCCAATAGCATTCTCCACGCTGAGGACCTATTACTTTGATTGTTCCTCCTCTTGCTTCAGACTTAGCCAACTCAAGTCTGGGTTCACAGTTGTCAGTACCCCCTGCCTAAAAAAAGGGTTCACCAGCCTGCTTATTTATGCAGACCTATATCAGGATTTTGGGGCCAAAATGGGCAAAAACAACATTTGTAATGCTTCTCAGCCTGGCTACTGGTGGCTGTTCTTACTTACCGTAAGTGGCTATTTGCATGTCTGAATTAATGGTATCCCAATAGCAGTAGCAAAGGCTGCTATTTTGAAAGTCAGTACTGGCCCTGCATTATAGCAAGCCAAGTCCTTTGCCAAGAAGCTACTTTAACCTATTTGTTAGGTAGGTAGGTATATTTATTTTGATTTATTACATCTATATGCTCCCTTTTCTCTGAGGAGCTCAAGGTGGCGTACTTGGTTCTTCCCCCTCCTCATTTAATCCCCACGAAAATGATATGAGGTCAGTTAGGCTGAGAGGCAGTGACTGCCCCAAGGTTCATGGCCAAGTGGGGATTTGAACCCTGGTCTCCCAGGTCTTAGTCCAATACTGTAACCACTATACGACACTGCTTATCATTTCCAGTTCTTGCTGAACAGCATGCAGGGTTTTCC